GCATTTATGCATAATTTAGAGTGTTCACTACATGCTTGATTACTTCAACTTGTATTCCTTGCTAATTCCCCTCATTTCCACTCTATGATTCTGTATTCTATTCTGAATAATGACCATAGCATTTCTCGGTTAATTTGATACTTAAGAACATGGATATGCTGCACAGGATGTTGCGCTTATTAATTTATGAATGATTAATTAAATAATTACACTCCCCTCCATAAGTTTGATTTTCAAAATTCATCAGATTTATCATCAATTTTCGACCTATTGTAATTGAGCATAAAATTGGGAAAATTTGGAGGGATTGGAAATGAAGCCAAGTTCCATTTTCATCAATATTATGATTATGTAAATAAAAATTGAAACACAAAGAGGCTTTATCACGTAGCTCAATGGGGGAGCTAAGGCTGCCAAACTTATGGAGGGGAGTGTATATTAATTATACCTGGCACCATTTTCTCAACATACTTTAACTGTTGCCTTATTAATGCAAGCTTTCAAAATAGAAACGTGTAATGCAATCTGTAATATTGGATTAAGTCTTCTTGCCACACAACCAATAAATTATTTTTAACCACATTGTTTACCCTTTGCATTCGTTTGACTTCACTTCTTAAAAGAGAGCTTCGTCTTCACTCTTTCAAACTAAAATAAACCTGTGAACTCACCGCGCCAATCAGTGTTCGTCGGCCAAATTTGACCGACGTTCTTTATATGGTCATTCCTTCTGACGTCATCGTTGAGCCCGGAATTGACCAATGACATGCGCATATTTAATTAGAACGCATTTGGCATATATGTTTCTTCAAGCTCGCTGATGGTGGAAGGTCAGCGCGTAGGTCAAAAGTGATTTACCCAAACTGTCACCGGTACCCGTCGTGGGGGCGGGGCTACTAAACTGTAATATGGTCTCTACTAGGCAGAGTGTAGTTTAACTAGACTCTGCTCGCAGGGTACACATTGTTGTACTCTGTTGTAAATTGCATGCTTTTCAATTGTTTGGTTTCTTTTCTTTTAAACGATACCGGGTTGTCAGAGCCAATGTAGATGAATCCCTCTTTTAAGGTCAAAATATTTCCCATGATGCAGTTCGCAGAGTAATAAATTTATACTTCCTCGTTTTCCCCCATAGGTTTAACATGGGGATTTTCACACCTATTTTTCAATCGATATATTCATTTTCCGGTTCGGGAGTACATAAAAATTATCAGAAACGATTTATCTCCTATTAATCACAGATGTCTTTTTCATTGTTTTGATTCATAGCGTGGTGAAAACGATGATTGAAAAGTGAGAAAATATTCCAGAAGAAAATGTCACGTGACCAGTTGACTAGTCGCCATGTTGGAAAAAATAATTTCATTCGACTTTCAACACTTTCTACCGCACTACAAACTGCAACATCGATGCAACAACAGAATAATAAGTAGTCATCTTCAAATTATAGAGTCACGTTGAAAACCCACAAACAACTGAGCAGTTGACCAAACTTGTTTTATTTAACCAAAATTGTTTTATTTAACGTGCGGGTGTAAAAACAAAATTTCGTAATTAGTTTGATGTAGAACTTTCGGGTCACGCAAATAGCTGCGCGAAATGTATTGTTGGAAAATATATGCTATTTTGTTCCAACGAGGTTTGGAAAGACATTTTTATTTCATTCTCAAGAATTGGTAGAAAGGAGCAAAACGATTGCACTAAAAAACCAAAAAATGTTAACAAAAACAGTTATATAAAATATTTCTAAATAATTTTTGCATTAAATTGTTGTCAATCAGTCAACATTACATAAAATACCGTGTGTTTACAGAATGTTTTCAATGACTGGTTTAAGAGAAAAACATTGTTGAATTCAGTTCTCCATATCGATACCACTCCTTTAAGAATAGTGCATTAAACGATATTGAGTTTGTTGATGAAATTAATTCTATCATCAGTAGTATAGATGGCAACATTGCAGATAATGCTCAGATAACATGGGACTGTTGTAAATCAAGAATCAAGTTATTTTCTATAGATTATGGTAAGAAAAAAGCAAAAGAAAACATATTGCAAATGTGCTTAGCAAAAAGTAAATTGGAACAAGTATGTAAAGAATTAAGTAAGCATCCAAACAATGCTGAGAATAATAACAAGGTAAATACATGTAAAAATAATTTTGATTATTATTATGTCAAAAGCAATGTATGCAGAACATGGGGAAAAAAGGAGTATATATTTTTGATCACGCGAAAAGTGTAAATATAAAGATAAAATAATGAGTATACTACAACTGGATGATGGATCAGTGACAAGTGATCCTATGGTTATTAATTATGCATGAATAGGCACAAACAGGGAGATCCACTGTCTGCTTTGATCTTGTAATATTCGTCAGAATAAAAATGTGATTTGTGTTAAGCTGCCGAATGATAGCGAATTGAAATTATTGCAAATAAAATGAGATTTTAAATCGTTTTAGAATTAAAGATTCATTTTGTGAAAATTGTAGTGTAATTGACAATGTTAAGCATAACTTTTATGAGTGTACAAAAATAAGAGATATATGGAAATCTTTTGATAACATCACTTTTGAACAAATTATAGGAATAAATAAGTATAAAAATTATAAAAAAGTTTTAATAGCCAAGGAAAAACTGTATAGAAAGTAAACAATGTAACTAACAATGTAACAATGTATAATTGTATATATGTTTTATTCTTGAAATATAGTTTTTTTTAAATGTTCGAACAATGAACTTATTAAAACTTTCAATAACCAATAATTGATTGTCTTGTTGTATCCATTGTAAATGGCCATAAAAATGGAGAAGACGTTGATGACTATGTTAAAGTTGTACTCAAACCATTTTACTCGATTAGATACATTTATGCTATCTTACCATATGAAGGCCACAATTTACGATGGTGAACCAACAACAATTCCAAAAATTCATTTTATCATGAAATCGGGGATATAAAGTCAGCACATGTCTGTTTTCGCTGCAAAACTGATTTCATTTTCAGAGCAGACATTCTACGTCTCGTGACATGACGTGTGTGGTTGAATCAATTTGCCGCGAAATACAATTTTGTAAATAAAAATGACAAACTGGCTTTCAAAAACGAGTTATTTGCTCTTGTGTTGAGCCAATTATTGCATGATTGAGGCTATTCTCATCAATTTTGCGAAGGGTATAATATCACTTGCAATTGAGCGAGGGTTGATCATAAAGTTCTCATAATATCTCTCTTATTTCTTTACTTTTCAATATTTTTCTATGAAATTTTCACAGAATGTGTAGCATGGAATGTTTTATTAATCCAGCAAAATAAGAAATGGTTGCCATAGTAACTTGAAATCAAGGCACCCGGGGCAAATAAAAAACTAGCTAGAATAGCCCCTATTAACCATGTTTAAATACATAATACGTTGTCAAATAAGCTGTCAAACACATTAAATTGTCAAATAATATGTGCTCTTGACTGTTGTGAACTATTATAATGGTCATGTGAATTGTGTGATCTCATAATGGATGATTTTTATGCTTCATTAAAAGTGACTGTTAGAACCCATGACTGTTTTGTCAAATATATCGAGGAAAATTGATTTTGCCCCTTTAGTTCATTTTTAACATGTACGGACCACACACATGGTGTAATTTTGTTAATACCTTAGCAATATATTTGTTTTAGATCATGTTTAGTCTGACCAAAGGAACTTACAAACTTAACATAACATATTATCAATATGAATTTTATTTTTCTGAAGATCTCTGCATCTATTGCATTCTCTTACACAGTCATTTCTGATCATTAGCTTTGAGTCTCAGACCCTGGTATCACATCTAATGAAGCATGAAAGCATCCCCTATGACACCACACAATCCACATGATCAATTCTTTTAATAGTAAAAGCACTTAACAACATATTCAAGTTAACATTTTAACGTGTTTGGTAATTTATGAGAGTTTATTATATGTGTTAAAATGGTTAATTAGAGCCATTCTCTCAATTACTTTTATTTGCCCCGGGTGCCTTGATTTCCCGTTACTATGGCAACCATTTCTTATTTAATATTTTTGTTTAACTAAATATTTTTATCTGATTCAATAAGATATTCTATGCTGCACATTCTGTGAAAATTTCATTAGAATATATTGAAAAATATAGAAATTAGAGGGATATTATGAGAACTTTATGATCAACCCTCGTACAACAGCAAACCATTGCCAGTGTTTGGGGATTAAAACTTTTTAACCCGAATGTAGTGCTGTTAGGCCAAAATATAATTATTGGGTTAACATTTTCAGTTATCGATATACGGTTTAACGAATGCATTTTAATCGATTCCTTGTTTATATAATAAATAATATTGCAGTGCTCTTTCCACAGGAAATTCTTTTTGTGAAGTTAATCATTTAAAACTATTCATTTGGCTATTGGAATGCATGCGAATGTGAAACTAATGTATACTTCTACTTTAGTTTAGCATTCGTAGTAGTTTGCAACAACAACTTTTCAATTTAGCGCCAGAATAACTTGCCACATGGTACGTCATGGTCAGGTGACCTCAAAAGTGCGCAAAAATAACAACGTTTCAGAGGTTGACAGTCTTATCTTAATAAAATGTTGTGCGGGGAAATATCACAAGCTTTGTAGTAAAAATAACAAAAGGGATGTTATTCGTGCTAAATACAAGATAATAAGAGATTATGAAATTGGTTTTAGACAACTTTAACCTGACAAAAGACTTCTTTAGAGGCATTTCACATCCTTATTGTGTATGTATTAATGCGATTACACAATTCTGCCAGGCATGTTGGTAGCCATTTGTTTATGTTATGTACTTTGTTTAAATAGGGCCAATGATATCTTATTAAAAAGTTAAACTATTATGTAAAACTTGTTTGCGGTAAAGATAATCAAGCCAGTTAAATAACATGTTTGGTTTTTCAAAATATTGATGTCCCGCTGCCCTAGTTGACACCCGGTTGGCTACGTCATACTTTGGTGACTCAAACAAACGTATATAGATATTAAAAGTCTTCGACAAAACAGAAACGCATTTACGAGTAGACTTCAAGATGTTTAACAGAACGCTCGCTGTTTTGATCGGAGTGTTAGTAGGCGTTTTTATATTGATCGGTGGTGTTATACTTGGATTGTTTGTATCCGGAATCCTAAGAGGTACGTAAATTATCAGACGGAGCCAGACATGGAGCGAGCGAGGCAACTGCTATTTTTTCCAGGAATATGTTTTTAGACTTTTTTTTACTAATAAGCCTCACCCACATTGCTCTTCGCGGGCGTACAGCGGCCGTAGCTTCACAAAATCAATATAGAAAATCTACATTATCTTGACATTGTCATATGTAATTGATTTACGTTTATTTTTTCGAAACAACATTTTTGAAAAATTGCTATACCTGCCCATGTTATTTTCTGGTACAAAATAAAGTATGAAGGCATTTGTGTATTTCCTTGCCCTTTTCAGGAAAGTATAATTTCATTTTTTCTCTAAGTAAACCTAATAAGTGGTCAATGGAAATCCAATGTTATTGAGAAACTTGGAGAAAAGAATTGGAAAATTGAAAAGGCGGTCACACTTATGGAGGGGAGTGTCTGTGATTTCAATTACCAGTGAATATTCATATACCTGTACTCTGTTATATAGTTTATGCCTGGGTCACATTTTCTCCGATCCATCGGCCGGCTCGGGCGATTGAGTGTTTTGCTCAATATTGCATTCAATTTTGACCAAAATACCCAATCGGCCGGGCGCCGAAGTGAAAATCGGAGCAAATGAGACCAAGGCGTTACTAAAGCAGATTCTAAATCTATTCATTTTTGTTTAGGAACTGGCTTTTTGACGAATGAAATGAATGCGACAACATCGGGTAACGTATAACAGTTTTATCATAATACGATCCCCGGGGAGTTCACTCCAAATAATTTGGGTAGGTATGCGCAGCACGGCCAATTTTGGCTTTGAGCGCATAACACATGGAAATTTGCCGATCTGAGAGAAAAAGGGAAAAATTGTCTAAGAAAGTACCTTTTTAAGTCAAAATTCAGTTTTTCTCCAAAAAACTATATTAAATTTGTTAAATCAGTTGCTGAGGCCTTGAACAAATCACTAGAAAAGTTGATTTTTAGACAATTATAAGTCTTAGAGGAATTTAACGTGGAAACCTTCAATCTAGGAGGAAATTTAAATGGAAAAAATGCTCAAAAAGGGGTCTCTGGGGCAGCACATAGGTATTAAGTATATTGGAGTGAAAAACCCGGGATACGATCTGTCTCGTTTGCTAGATTTAAACCATCACTATTCAGTTTGGTTCCCCTTGTCTAATCGAACAGTAATAGTAATGTAGAATTCCAGACTGATCATCATAATCTTTAAAGCCTTTTCTGTGTTTTAATCAATAATTTTCATCGATACAATATTGCACTTAAATTTTTACCCAGGAGTGGATATCAGTATCTTCATTCTTCACGAGTGTGTTATTGATGCAAAACCAAAACAATATATGTGGTAATACAGACTTTAGGGGCTATTATTCAAATAATCTTTATTTTACAGCTCCCACAACTACTACAGCGACACCTACAGGTAATTATATCTAGACTCTGCACGCAGGGTATGTAATCTACGTCACAATTATTTATAATTTATAATTTATTTATTGGGTTTCCTTAAAGTTTTTAGTCACCCTTCCCTTTTGGCATTTGTGCTTATATATTCAGATGCTGTGTCTTACGTATTCTTCATGAGGTATCGTTTTCATCAAATAGTCTCTATCAACTAGAGGAGAGAGTGAGTTATTTTTAGACGGTTGCTGATAATGCTAATATCTTCTGCTCTCCATCACTTATGCAAACAATTGTATAATTCATTATGAAAATAAAACAATACAAGAAAATGTTATTCATTCATTCAAAAATCATTTTGAGACTTTTTTGTTATTTGTGATAACGATAGAATAAATGTTTGTATAAATAAGAAAATAATTAATGTTTTTTGTAAAGATCCCTCAAAATGGTGGCTGGAGACTCCCCCGAAGGATGCAATTGCTCTGGCGCTTTACCAACAGCACATACAGTCCAACAACATCATTAGCTCATACTCGCAAGATGAAGTTCCATCTAACCCTGCTGTATGTGGAGATCCTCGATTAGGTACTTTTAACCAAGGCAATATATTTCTATACTGGATGCACATGCATTGGCGGCGCTGAACACATACTCAACTTCTGTGCATGCACTCGCCATCTATACACGTACGCGCCTTCTATACACACACTCGCCTTCTGTGCACGCACTTGCCTTCTATGGACACACTCGCCTGCTGTGTACGCACTCGCCTTCTATGCACACACTCGCCTTCTGTGCACGCACTCGCATTCTGTGCGCGCACTCGCATTCTATGCACGCACTCGTCTTCTGCGCCTATATTCCAAAGGACGCAACTCGACATTTTCCAAGAATGAAAATGTCAGAATGTCGTTATTTTCTGACATTTTAACTAACTATGAGTTCATAGTCAATAGTCCCAAGGATTCAGATCAATATCTCGACCACTTCTTGTGAGTTTTCGAATTTTTGTTTAGAAATAATTCCTAAACTTCAAATTCTGAAGTGAACAAAATGGCGGCTCTAGTGCAGTGCATAGCGTATTACAATTGAATTGAGTTTAGGGTTAAAGTTTTTCTTTGCAGATGGGTGGCTATTGTGTAATTTAAATGTCTATTTAATACCAATAGAGTTACATCCACATTTGCGCCAGATGACATTGCTTTGAAATAAAACATATAACATCACTAGCCTTTGATATTAACATATTTTCAGCTGCCCGTACATTCAACTGTACCAACAACAGAGCTAGAACAATTGATGGGACCTGTAATGACTTGGACAATCCAGGCGTCGGTAGCAGATCGACTAGATTTAACCGAAATGTACCATTGAACGAGACGGCTGCGGAAAACGAGACGCTCCAAGCAACACCAAACCCAAGACTCGTTAGTGAAAAGCTTCTCCAACGAAAAGAGTTCATTCCTGCTCCAAGTATTAACTTGTTTGTGGCTGCATGGATACAGTTTATGATACACGACTGGTTTGACCATGGCACAAATGATAAAACAAGGTAACTAATGACCCATTGTTCATGAGTCATGAAACGTCATTAGGAGAGGTTGAGCTGACAATATTTCCCGGGCAATATTTGAATCTGTTTTTGATGTAAATAGTATTCATGTAATATGCTTATATGTGGTTCTTGGATTGAGACAATATCTAAAGTGTGGTACTCTTTAAATTTGTTCTTCACTGGCGATCCACTCGATTACGCTAGAACCGTTTCGGTAACAAAATGTCGGAACGTCGAAGGTACGATTTTTCCTTATTTCACACGTTGTAGGCAGAATTCCCACGACATTTTTATTACAAACGTGTATCAGTATCATATGTCTAAGAAAATGTACACATTTGCGAACAAATAGTTCAGAAGACAGCGGAATCGTCGTTTATGTAACTTAAGTGAGGAATTAAATCGACGATTCTGTTGTCTTCTGAGCTATTTTGCCGCAACCATGTACATTTTCTAAAACATATAATACTGATACACGTTTGTGTGAAAAAATATTGTGGGGATTCTGCCTACGACTCGTGAAATAAGGAAAAAAGAAAAATTGTACCTTCGACTTTCCGACATTTTGTCACCAAAACGAACTGTTTTGGTAACCAGCGTAATCGAGCGGATCACCAGTGTTCTTTCCCCATTTGACATTTGTCCTTTGATATGTTACATTAGTGGGCAACGTGTGCCCACTTCAAGGCATGCTTCCAAAGTTAAGTGATAGCCGGAGTTAGAAAGTTTGTTCCCTTGAAACGGGTGTCGACTTTTGGGTTGCAACCGAAGATACCTCAAGAAAAGCAGGAGATTGCCGAAGATTTTCTTTGCAAACGAAGTTGGCCGAGGATACCACGAATGTGAAGAGGACGTCTCTAATTGGTCAAAAAGAGAGGCTCGGCATTCTCCGTCAGATTGAATCGGCAAAATTCGGTTGTATGGCTTACCTTCGGTTGTATGGCCTACTTTCGGCTGCATGGCCCAACCTTGATTGAATGGAAAAGATGCTGTCCCCCTTGAAACAAAACTAATGACCTTAAGCCCTAGGACCCCCTTTCACTTGTAATTTTGCTTAATATCTATTTAGTTCATTTATAATTTGGATTATTTCATTAGGAACATCCGTGTTAAAGTATCGGAAGATGACCCGTTGGGTAATTCTGAAAATGAAATCATAGTGGATCGAACAAGAAAGAATGACTGCAATACTTCTAAATCCACGGACACGATGTTCCAAAATGACGTCACACACTGGTGGGACGCCTCCCAAATGTACGGATCCGATGCTAATAGAAACAAAGAGATTCGATCATTCAAAGATGGAAAACTGATACTTGCTGAGAATGGTCGTCTCCCTCTTGAACCATCTAGTGGTTTGCCTATAACAGGTTGGTATATCATACATGTTTTAAACTCATCCTTTGTGTACGAAGCTCATACCGGAATACCCTGACAACGGTAAAGTCATATACCATTGTCACAAATGGCGGACATAACCGTCGCTTCAACTCTTTAATCACTTGGTCCTCGTTTCATGGGACTTTGTCGTCGCTGATTCTGTGCATGTATTAAGCTCTTGTGATGATGTATAATATGAAATTCCAATTTCTATCAAATTGGGTGGTGAATTGCATCAATATAGCGTCTTCGATAGCAACAATATAGCGTGACATTTCAACCTTATCACATTAAATTAATTCACCTATGCACTTGTGCCATCTATTCATCACTTACGAGATAGATTTAACTGTATGAATATCTAGTGATCTGAGCCAACTCCAAAACACATAAATATTTATGTATAAATCATATTCTTGAGTAGGCCTATTTGTGAGCTCCTTACTTTTAAAATATTTTTAGAAATAGTAAGTGAAGTAAAATTTTCGTTTTCAGAGAACGAGTTTTTCATTTTCATTATCCATATATAGTCGAAAATGTTATAAAATTATATTTGGTTTACGTCTACTTTTTTAAATAGAATATATGTGTCTCTTTTTGATCACCATGTATTGAGAAAGATACACGAGAGGGATATACGTAGATGTGTCCTAGCCTATGACTTGTTAATGTTCCGTGTTAAACCCAATTTGTGGCTTCATACCTGCTCTTCTAAATATGATATTTTTTGTCCACCCTGTATTAAGACAGATTCACCATATCTATTAAAGAAGGGTATACGTAGATTTGACTTTGACTTGTTAATGTTTCAATTTACAGGTTTCAATAAAAACTGGTGGGTTGGCTTAACGTTGATGCACGTTGTGTGGACGAAAGAACACAACGCTGTCTGTGATATGTTGTTGGGGAATCATCCAGATTGGTAAGATAATAGCCTTGTCTGAATCGGTATTAGCTTGATTTTCAGTTAATACCAGAAATATTAAAATACGTCGACTTCGGGCAAGCCTAGTAAGATACGAGCAGAGACATGTAGGATTGGGAGGGGGGGTCATTTTCAGAAACTTCGCAAAGTTAAGAATGCCTTAGTTTATTATGACTATATCATTATATACATAAGTGTATTATGACTATATCATTATATACATAAGTGTATTATGACTATATCATTATATACATAAGTGTATTATGACTATATCATTATATACATAAGTGTATTATGACTATATCATTATATACATGTTCACAACATTAAGATCGATGTATTTTTAATTGTTAGTTGAAGGATTTTTTGTCAAATTATTTATTTAACTTTACGATAAGGTTAATGCAACACGATGCAAATGCAGTTCGAGCTGCAATTAATTTTGTCAAAATACATGGTGTCCATAAAGTCTCTTTACATTTACAAGAATACAAAATTTGTGTAATATGAAACTTTGTGGTCACCCAGTATTTTATAAAATCTCATTGAAATACCATAGCTTAAATTGAATTACTTTAAATTATTCGACAAACGTCCCTCTACTTCAGGTCTGACGAGCAACTTTTCAGCACTGCACGGCTTATAATATCAGCCACCATAGCGAGAATACACACCCTCGAGTGGACCTCTGCAATATTAGCTAACAGGGTTGTCAAATTAGCATTAAAATCGAACTGGTATGGTGTTAGTTTAATCGAGTCTACTAACGGGAATAAGGCTGTAGCAGATTACCTGGCAGGATTGTACCCAATGCTATCACAAGGAATACCTGGAGCAATAGGTAATAAAGCGGGTATTTGATGCATTGGCCTAAAGCCCGGTATACACCAATGGGGCAAGTTGGGACCTCCATAGACTTAACATTGCGTGGGACCTCGTGGGACCTTTTGGGATTTTGCCCCAGGAAGTCCGTGGGACTCCTTTGGACTCCGTGGGATTTTGCCCCATCTTGCCTCATCGAGTCCCACGAGGTCCCATGAAGTCATCAAAGTCATCAAGGTCCAATGGGACTCCGTGGGATTTTGCCCCATCTTGCCTCATCGAGTCCCACGAGGTCCCATGAAGTCATCAAAGTCATCAAGGTCCAATGGGACTCCGTGGGATTTTGCCCCATCTTGCCTCATCGAGTCCCACGAGGTCCCATGAAGTCATCAAAGTCATCAAGGTCCAATGGGACTTCGTGGGATTCGATGGGGCAAATTGGGATTCGATGGGGCAAGATGGAACTCGATGGGGCAAGTGGGATTTTGCCCCATTGGTGTATACCGGGCTTAAGTTACATATAGTACATTTAATACCCCATTTCTGACTTTAGACCACTTCGTTCCAGTTATTGTGACGTAGCATATCATATGAGAATATTGTTACTTTCGACCAATACCTGTGACGTATGGCGCTAGGGACCAAATTTGAAACACTTGCCCCCATGGTGCCCCCCATGGGTTTACATATATTAAATGTATGTGTTCATATAGACACACCCCATTCTCTTATACGTCGTAACACCGGAAGCTTACGACGTATACCCAATATTTTCGGCGGGAGATTTGAAAGTACTCATTTATTTCGACGTTTTGACAGAATATGGTTCTTTCCCTTTCGTAGAAACATTGACCATACCATGCAGATATACCTCTTGTATCACTGCGTCTCAATATTTCGTCTGAACACGGTCTAGAACTTCTCAAACCTTCTAGAAAGCACGACAAATTTTGGAAAGAAATGATCATTTTTTTCACAAAAATGATCATAGTTTCTATAATTCTAACCCTATACTCTTGAAGTATTGATTAGATTAACAGTGCAATTTTTATACATCATTCAGACACTTCAGTTTCTTAACCAATGAAAGAATTCCCACAGATTTTTCTATGAAGATATACGACGTTAAGGAGGTTTACGGCGTTTACCATGACATTGTTTCTTTATATTGTCTTGATCTTACCTCACTTAACACGTATTTAATAAGATTTACGTTGATTTAACATTAAACGTATTTACAAGATTATGGTAATATAATTTTTTTCTTTTAGTTGGGTCAGTATTAGGGTTTCCAGGCCATGGAGGCTTAAATTTTCCCTCGGAGCAAAAACAAAAAACAATAAATTTGAGAGGCTTTACTTCTCCCGAAATAGAATTTTGGTAAAGCTCGGTGATGCAATGTCCCTGATCCACTAAATTGTATTGTATTGTATTGTATTGTATTGTATTTTGTTTACCACCAATGAAGGTGAGCAATACCTCTTGGGTTTATCCCGTATATATACGGTCGTAATTAACGTAATTAGCCTGGAAGATTTGAAGAGCCAGAAACCCCTCCTCAAAGGAACCCTGTGTTATTTTAAGTGCACCCATACATAGACATACAAATACACACCACAGCCTTTTGTACAAGTTGTGGACCACTCAGTCAAACACCCTGAAGTACTTTAAAATTCTGAACGCCAGAAAAAACTCTTACTCAAAATGTTCCTACTATTTCATGATGTAAGATCATTCACAATCACGCCTAGCCATCGACAACGTACAGTGACAAAATATACGGGTGTACACTTTAACTGTTTGCATCAAATACTTGTGATGTAGGTTTTAAATGATGTATCTAGGGAATATGATAAAGTTGTTCATGTTTAATTCTATGTGCATGCTCCAGGCAAGACTTTAAACTTTTTAATTATGTTAACAGATTCTCAAACAGAGCACTAGTGTTTTCAAGGTAATTCCACCCATGTCCATGTGAACATTTTCCAAACGGTCAATTATGTGGGTGGAATTGCCTAGAAAAAATTCGACCACTGCTCGAGAATCTTTTAACGTAATTAGAGAGTTAAAAGTCTTGCCAAGAGCATGCACATGAAATAAAAATGAAATTCTACTTCATATCCTTTAGATAATATTTTTAAAACCTACATCACAATTTTTAGCTTCAAACATTACAATGTACAGCTAAAGTGTACAATCGTATATTTCGTCACTGTACGTTGTCGATGGTTAGGCGTGACAATAATATATTACTATAAACTGGCTGGAGATCACATGATGAGTGCATTGATTGTGAAGAATGTGTTTCAACAATAGAACACAAATGGCTACATTTTGGAAACACATATAATCGAATCAATCAGTTTAATTGAGCAGTGTTTGATTCAAGGAAACTGATAATTTCTGTAAATTTGTGCTCTGTTAATTGATGCAACAAAAATTGGAAAAGCAGGAGGTTGAAAATTAGGACAACATTTCAGAAAAAACATGTGGGTGGGTTGTTTGCATCTTCCCTGTCTCAAGCAAATTTGGCAACATCTAAGGACATTTAGCAGCATTTAAGTAGATTTAGCAACGTTTAAGCGAATTTGGCATACACTAAGCAAAAAGTAAATTTGCTTCCGCAAAAATTTGACGAAATACATGTAAGTATAGTGTTTGTTTGGTTGTTTTTACAAAAGTTGCATAAATTAATGTTTATAGATGTATGTATAGATAGAATAATGTGTGTATAAATCTGCTGATTTATTCTATCCTCATAGAGATTTTCACAACCTACTTAAATCAGGGAATCAGGCAAAGCAAGAGAGATATGTTTACCAGTCCAAAATACTTTTTAATTAGGTTGGCATAGGCGAGTTAAGTTTATGGTACCCCCGGATTCAATTACGTGTTTCCTTAAACGGTTGTCTTTTGAAAGAATGAAAGTTGCGACTTCAACTCAATAGACGTATATGCTTACTGAGAATACTTTCTTTTTCGACGTGGTTAGGCTTTGGGGGTTGGAAACCCGATTGACTTTGATGATGAACGCATCCTTGGCCCAAGAGTTCTTCATTGCATTACATGAGCTGCTATGAAATCAGTGAAGGACCGATCTTATAAAGGATGGTTGAACGTCGTACCTTCCTTAACGTCGTATATTTTCAAAGAAAAATTAATATCTCGGAATTCTTTCATTAATTTGGGAAACTGGAGTGTCTGGATAATATATATGAATTGTATTGTTATTATCATCAATATTCCAAGATGATAGGGTTAAAATTGTAGAAAGTATGATGGTTTTTGTGAAAAATTATCATTTTTTCCCAAAAATTGTCGTGCTGTCTAGAAGGTTTCAGAAGTTTCAGACCGTGTTCTGACAAAATTTTGAGACGTAGTGATACTAGAGATATATCTGCATGGTATGGTCAATGTTTCGACGAAAGGGAAAGGATCATATTCTGTCAAAACGTCGAAATAAATGAGTACTTACAAATCTCCGGCCGAAAATATTGTGTGTACGTCGTAAGCTTCCGGTGTTACGACGTATAAGAGAATGGGGTGTGATAGAGGTTCCACTATTCTACATCAAATTATAGGGAAGCAGTTTAATTACTTTCCGAGATATCAACGTCTACATGTATGTATTGTAACTCGATTGTACAGGGTGGTCAAAAAACGGAAACCCTGCATTTTCGTCATATCTTTGTCATTTAAAAAAATTACTCCCTGATATTTGACACATTTGTACTTCATTCAATTTCCTACCACCCTACCATATTCCATGATCATCAGACTGATAGTCACAATGTTACAGCACTTTGAACAACATGCAACAGGTGTGGCCATCAACGCTGTATAGGCAAACAACATGCAACAGGTGTGGCCATCAACACTGTATAGGCAAACAACATGCAACAGCTGTGGCCATCAATGCTGTATAGGCAAACAACATGCAACAGATGTGGTCATCAACGCTGTATAGGCAAACAACTACAAATAACTTTGCACATTTGTACTTCATTCAATTTCATACCGGCCTACTATAGTTCATGACCATCAGACTGATAGTCACAATTTTACAGCACTTTGAATAACATGCTTCAGGTTTGGCCATCATCGCGCTGTAGGCAAACCTGCACAGTTGTGAATGACCCGAATCCTGAATGACAAGGGTCATCTCACTTTTGAGGTTTGCAATTGTACTGAGGTCATTCTCATACTCTTTATCTCTGCCATATCCACACAGGTAGGAACATTTTGGACGTCGTGTGCAGGTTTCCCGACAGCGCAATAATAGCCACCGGAGCATGTTCTTTAAAGTGCTGTAACATTGTGACTATCAATCTGATGGTCATGAAATAGAGTAGACTGGTGGGAAATTGAATGATGTACATATGTGAAAAGTATCAAGGAGTTATTTCGTAAAATGACAAAGATATGTGGAAAATAGTGTACGGGTTTCCATTTTGACCACCCAGTAATTCATTTATTAAGCAATGACAACGTGGGAACTCTATACATTACACATATACGAATATTATTTTGCAGGAAACCCCAAGGACACGAGGGGAGTTCCTTTTGCCTTATCAGAAGAATTCGTTGCAGTGTATCGGTTGCATCCGTTGGTACCAGACAACATAGAGATAAGACGCCACACGAATGGCACTCTTGGTAAGTTATGTCCGATTGTATTTGGATGCTTATGTATAAATACATATAGACTAAATAATACTTTTGACAAGTATAACCCAGAAGAGGGGCTTTTCCGGCATATTTTCAATAATCTTGTTCAATGAAACTACAGGATAAGGCCGATAGAAATATTTTTTAAACAAAGATGGCATGGTAATCGAGATGTGTTCATTTATTGGATTCTGCTAGTGCTGCCATCTTGGATGTATATCTAGCCAGAACCTATGAATGAAACTATGAAACTCTTTATAGCTTCTAGGTATAATTTGCCCGAAGTAATGTTCAATAAGTCTGAGGAAGTACTGGATAACAACGACATTCGGGACGTTCTGTTCACTTTTGGAAATGCATATTCTGGCGCGATGAAGCTCCACAACTACCCGAACTTCCTTCGTAATCTTCAAATGCCGGAAGGAGGGCCGTCGATCGACTTGGGAATGATCGATTTGGTGCGTGATAGAGAACGAGGAATCGCAAGGTACATCTACTTACAGGCCCGTAGCCAGGGGGGGGGGGCGAACCCCCCCCCCTGGCCAAAAATTCTTTCAAAATCATGCAGTTTTTCACCATTTTGAGCACTTTTCAAGTGATTTTAGCCATATTTAGGCCAAAATTGTCAAATGTGAACCACCCCTGGAAATTTTTGAAAACTGAACCCCCCCACCCCCCCTTGGCAAATCCTGGCTACGGGCCTGACTTATCAACGATTTAATTTTCACAACAGCAAATGCAATTGAAAAACGATTATTTGGCTACAATAAGCATAGGAAATCCTTACTTTTTCCTTTGCTTATATAACTTTGCTTATACGATGTACTCTCTTACACCTGAACACGAAGCGTTTCATTCATTTAGCACCCGTCACTTTGTGCTCAAAAACCAGACATATAGAATATATCGATATACGATAGAATCTGTATCCATTCCTTCCCTAAATTCTGTTTACAGTTTAAAATGAAAAACTAAACGTACATAAATTGCAACTGCTTTTTAGATACAACAAATTCCGACGGTTGATGAACCTTCCACCTGTGAAAACGTTCGAAGAACTAAATCCCGATCCAGCGATTGTTGCTGCTCTGAAGGAAGTATATGACAATGATATCGATATGGTTGACCTTCTAGTTGGTGGATTAGCAGAGAGCGATGTGCCAGATGGATTTGGTTTTAGTGACACGATTTTCAGGTAGTGGAACGGATGTATGTAATTTTTGTCCCACATAATATGTCACGCTTGAGGAAATACCTTTACAGATAGGAAGAATTATGGTCCCACGGGTGCACTACATGTAGTTCCCCATCAAGTTTATAGTACTTATTCACCATAAACTAAAAAAGGAAATTTGTAATAAGACAACTATACGAATCAATTTAAAAACTGTACATGCGAGGATCCTACATTTAAAGCATTTTGAAAAGGTGGTTGCAGTTCACATTTGCTGAAACTGAAATTGCACAAATAAAATGAAGAATGTGTTTGCTTTTCAGGATTTTTGCCGTTGCTGCTCGCAGAAGGCTTGAAACTGACCGGTTCTTCACTGACGACTACACAGAAGAGTTCTACACGAAGGAGGGTTTGGAGTGGGTGGATAAGACGTTTTTTGGTGACGTTCTTGCCCGTCATTATCCCGAACTGGCTCCTCATCTGGCTAATAGCGACAATGCATTTGCACCATGGGGGAACACCTTCTAGTGATAATTAGACATTAGGACTGGTTATTTTATAGTACGAGCATGGACATGCAATAGAAAGCCCAAAGTACTTATATTTTCCAAGCCTGTTAAGGTCGATCAAAGCTAGGAACAGAGAAAAGTTTACAAATATATGTAAAGATATAACTACAGGAGAGTGTTTTAATTTTTACAAACTTACATTCAGATTTTCTCTGAAGGGCGTCATGTTGAATGAAATCGCGGCGATGAACATTAATTTTTGTACCGTCGACTGAGACCTGATTTGCCTGTGTGTCAATGATGAAAACGCGATGAAGGGTATAATGAGATGTTAAAATCTTGAATACTGGATAATTCTTTATGATTTTGACCCCATTACAGTTTAATAGTTTTTTTCTGTAAAATTTTATCCAGACAAACGAAGTTAAATCCTTATAATATATATTCTGTGTGTCGATGAACAACTATTTGAAAGAAACGAATTAAAAACTATAGTTTGTGACTTATTGTTGTTTCAATACGAAATTAACTTAACAGTAAGCCAATCATTGTTGAAAGTAAGTGAAGTTACATCAAAGTCCAGAAAAATAGTTTCTGTCATACACAGATATACAAATGCTGTTGTGGGGGGGGGGGGCGCAACAGAAGTGAGTTCAAAATAGAATAGCAAAACAATTTTACATTATAGCATGGTGGTATCTTACTCGCAATAAACGGAGAGAGTCTGCTAGATCAGAGTCCACGCCAGCTCTGAGCACTTCTAATTATTACCCAACAGCGTTTACAAAAGTAATGTAAAAACTCTTAAAACATGAAGATAAAGCCCCAAACACACCAGTGTAAAAGGGTAGGTGGTCCTATCAAATTTTGGTCCTACTCTCTATTGATTTATATGGTGACCTAATTACAATTATTTTCCTTATTATTGATACACAGTCAGGGCCAGAAAGGGCCGTAAGTTACTCTACCGAGCTGACAGCTCTAGGGCGCTGGATTGAAAATTCTCAGAGGTGAAAAAATCGAGCCCACTTTGACTAAACGCTATGCTGAGTAGCGTTTATAATACACTATATATTTGAATCAATGCATAATTTATTTGTTGCTACCCTATTTTGATCCTTAAACAGTCTGTTGTTGTAGTAAATCAATGTTATATTAGACAACAAATCTTTTGAATTTAGATTGTAGCCATTTTAGGTCTCGCGAGATCTCTTGACTTTCGAAAGTAAAGAGTTGTTACAAAATAACTCGCGCTACAGTACAATGCGCATGTACACGCGTGCGCAAAAGTCTTACGAAATATGCATTTTTTTATTTGATGGATTGACACTCGGATACAGTCATCTAGATAGCTAGACGTAGAATTATTGGTCTAGAAGGTAAACAGCCGACCTGATTCGTCCAACTGAGCAGGAAATGTGATCCCATTCCAATTCCAAACCCAAACCCTTCCCCTGATATATTCATGAGGCGTTATTTACTTTTGATATTACTGTAAAATGCGTGAAATATGTGAAAATGTTTTTTTTAATGTACACCTCAAGTGGTGACATATTGTTATGGTCTCTAGCTTTGTTGTGACGGTGGTTAGCGGTCGCCGTCTGGAACAAATTCTTACAATTTCCAATATATAACTTTAACAAATACTGTTTAGATTAATGACTTAATTTTTTCCAAAATCATTTACAAGTTCTCAGAAGTTAAAATCTGACTCAAATTTGAGATTTGATCTTCAATGACATTCTCGACAAGGTCAAAAAAGTTCAAAAAAGGTATCTTTCAACTTGCTTCAAATTGACCATTTTTTCAAAGATCAGCTACGTGTTCTCAAAAGTTCAAATCTGACTTAAGGTTTAACTTATAATATTTTGAGCAACTAGGTGGTGACATTTTGTTTTGTTAAGTCTTGTAAGTAGAAACTATGATACGCTTTAAACGATTAAAATGCATTTTTGGTGTACATCGTTGCAATTTTACTATAATATGCATCATTTATGTATTCATTTTTAACGGCATAGTATTGCGATTAACTTGTTCTTGCGATCGAAATATTGTTAAAAGGTTTAACAATTCAATAAAAAGATGGCCTGTGAGAACAGTACCGTCCCTCAAAACTTAAACGGTGGTCAAGCTTCACGTCAAGCTTTAAGATAATTTGTCAGTGAGTGTAGAATTATCGCCGTAATGGAATAGTTCTCCCTTCACAGTTTTTACACGCCCAATTGCAAATTGATTGGAGCTAAAAGAATATAAGAAATAGTTGTAATTATGTCTTCAGAAATTAGAACATTACATACATCTGCCTGCTCTAGTGTATGAGGCTCTGATAAGAAAAAACATTTTCAGTAGTGGAATCCAACCCTCATATATAGGATGCAACTGTGGCGCATTCAATTGGTAAATAGCAATTCAATTTCAACAAGCCACAGGGGAATAAAACAACAACAAACACTTCAAATAGATAGAATAATAGGTGTATTTGTAAACAGTAGACTAATCTATGCCTTTTCTCAGTCTTTACAGCAAATATGTATTTTCAATTTCGAAAGTTCTCATCACACAGCTTTCATCAATATCAATGACAGAATGCAGTATAGAAGTACAAATTCGAAATAATAATTCGCCATGTGATAGCACGGTTTACTAATTTGTCATTGTGCCCATCAAAACTACCCTCCCCTCCACAAGTTTGGCAACCCAATGTTTTCATTTGATAACGTACACTCCCCTCCACAAGTTTGGCAACCCAATGTTTTCATTTGATAACGTACACTCCCCTCCACAAGTTTGGCAACCCAATGTTTTCATTTGATAACGTACACTCCCCTCCACAAGTTTGGCAACCCAATGTTTTCATTTGATAACGTACTCTCCCCTCCACAAGTTTGGCAACCCAATGTTTTCATTTGATAACGTACACTCCCCTCCACAAGTTTGGCAACCCAATGTTTTCATTTGATAACGTACACTCCCCTCCACAAGTTTGGCAACCCAATGTTTTCATTTGATAACGTACTCTCCCCTCCACAAGTTTGGCAACCCAATGTTTTCATTTGATAACGTACTCTCCCCTCCACAAGTTTGGCAACCCAATGTTTTCATTTGATAACGTACACTCCCCTCCACAAGTTTGGCAACCCAATGTTTTCATATGATAACGAACACTCCCCTCCACAAGTTTGGCAACCCAATGTTTTCATTTGATAACGTACTCTCCCCTCCACAAGTTTGGCAACCCAATGTTTTCATTTGATAACGTACTCTCCCCTCCACAAGTTTGGCAACCCAATGTTTTCATATGATAACGTACTCTCCCCTCCACAAGTTTGGCAACCCAATGTTTTCATATGATAACGAACACTCCCCTCCACAAGTTTGGCAACCCAATGTTTTCATATGATAACGTACTCTCCCCTCCACAAGTTTGGCAACCCAATGTTTTCATTTGATAACGTACTCTCCCCTCCACAAGTTTGGCAACCCAATGTTTTCATTTGATAACGTACTCTCCCCTCCACAAGTTTGGCAACCCAATGTTTTCATTTGATAACGTACACTCCCCTCCACAAGTTTGGCAACCCAATGTTTTCATTTGATAACGTACTCTCCCCTCCACAAGTTTGGCAACCCAATGTTTTCATTTGATAACGTACTCTCCCCTTCACAAGTTTGGCAACCCAATGTTTTCATTTGATAACGTACTCTCCCCTCCACAAGTTTGGCAACCCAATGTTTTCATTTGATAACGTACACTCCCCTCCACAAGTTTGGCAACCCAATAACCCAATGTTTTCATTTGATAACGTTCTCTCCCCTCCACAAGTTTGGCAACCCAATGTTTTAATTTGATAACGTACACTCCCCTCCACAAGTTTGGCAACCCAATGTTTTCATTTGATAACGTACTCTCCCCTCCACAAGTTTGGCAACCCAATGTTTTCATTTGATAACGTACTCTCCCCTCCACAAGTTTGGCAACCCAATGTTTTCATTTGATAACGTACTCTCCCCTCCACAAGTTTGGCAACCCAATGTTTTCATTTGATAACGTACTCTCCCCTCCACAAGTTTGGCAACCCAATGTTTTCATTTGATAACGTACACTCCCCTCCACAAGTTTGGCAACCCAATGTTTTCATTTGATAACGTACACTCCCCTCCACAAGTTTGGCAACCTAATGTTTTCATTTGATAACGTACTCTCCCCTCCACAAGTTTGGCAACCCAATGTTTTCATTTGATAACGTACTCTCCCCTCCACAAGTTTGGCAACCCAATGTTTTCATTTGATAACGTACTCTCCCCTCCACAAGTTTGGCAACCCAATGTTTTCATTTGATAACGTACTCTCCCCTCCACAAGTTTGGCAACCCAATGTTTTCATTTGATAACGTACTCTCCCCTCCACAAGTTTGGCAACCCAATGTTTTCATATGATAACGTACACTCCCCTCCACAAGTTTGGCAACCCAATGTTTTCATTTGATAACGTACACTCCCCTCCACAAGTTTGGCAACCCAATGTTTTCATTTGATAACGTACACTCCCCTCCACAAGTTTGGCAACCCAATGTTTTCATTTGATAACGTACACTCCCCTCCACAAGTTTGCCAACCCAATGTTTTCATATGATAACGAACACTCCCCTCCACAAGTTTGGCAACCCAATGTTTTCATTTGATAACGTACTCTCCCCTTCACAAGTTTGGCAACCCAATGTTTTCATTTGATAACGTACACTCCCCTCCACAAGTTTGGCAACCCAATGTTTTCATTTGATAACTTACTCTCCCCTCCACAAGTTTGGCAACCCAATGTTTTCATTTGATAACGTACTCTCCCCTCCACAAGTTTGGCAACCCAATGTTTTCATTTGATAACGTACTCTCCCCTCCACAAGTTTGGCAACCCAATGTTTTCATATGATAACGTACACTCCCCTCCACAAGTTTGGCAACCCAATGTTTCCATTTGATAACGTACACTCCCCTCCACAAGTTTGGCAACCCAATGTTTTCATTTGATAACGTACACTCCCCTCCACAAGTTTGGCAACCCAATGTTTTCATTTGATAACGTACTCTCCCCTCCACAAGTTTGGCAACCCAATGTTTTCATATGATAACGTACACTCCCCTCCACAAGTTTGGCAACCCAATGTTTTCATTTGATAACGTACACTCCCCTCCACAAGTTTGGCAACCCAATGTTTTCATTTGATAACGTACACTCCCCTCCACAAGTTTGGCAACCCAATGTTTTCATATGATAACGTACACTCCCCACCACAAGTTTGGCAACCCAATGTTTTCATTTGATAACGTACTCTCCCCTCCACAAGTTTGGCAACCCAATGTTTTCATATGATAACGTACTCTCCCCTCCACAAGTTTGGCAACCCAATGTTTTCATTTGATAACGTACTCTCCCCTCCACAAGTTTGGCAACCCAATGTTTTCATTTGATAACGTACACTCCCCTCCACAAGTTTGGCAGCCCAATGTTTTCATTTGATAACGTACACTCCCCTCCACAAGTTTGGCAACCCAATGTTTTCATTTGATAACGTACTCTCCCCTCCACAAGTTTGGCAACCCAATGTTTTCATTTGATAACGTACACTCCCCTCCACAAGTTTGGCAACCCAATGTTTTCATATGATAACGTACACTCCCCTCCACAAGTTTGGCAACCCAATGTTTTCATTTGATAACGTACACTCCCCTCCACAAGTTTGGCAACCCAATGTTTTCATTTGATAACGTACACTCCCCTCCACAAGTTTGGCAACCCAATGTTTTCATTTGATAACGTACTCTCCCCTCCACAAGTTTGGCAACCCAATGTTTTCATTTGATAACGTACTCTCCCCTCCACAAGTTTGGCAACCCAATGTTTTCATTTGATAACGTACACTCCCCTCCACAAGTTTGCCAACCCAATGTTTTCATATGATAACGAACACTCCCCTCCACAAGTTTGGCAACCCAATGTTTTCATTTGATAACGTACTCTCCCCTCCACAAGTTTGGCAACCCAATGTTTTCATTTGATAACGTACTCTCCCCTCCACAAGTTTGGCAACCCAATGTTTTCATTTGATAACGTACTCTCCCCTCCACAAGTTTGGCAACCCAATGTTTTCATTTGATAACGTACACTCCCCTCCACAAGTTTGGCAACCCAATGTTTTCATATGATAACGTACACTCCCCTCCACAAGTTTGGCAACCCAATGTTTTCATTTGATAAAGTATCAAATCCTGTCAATGTTTGAATCATCAAAAACCGATAAGGAGAGCTTTTTAGAAGGACACAACTATTTTATTCTGGAAGTGATCATCATGAAATTTTGACATACTTTTAGAAATGAGGTGAATTTATACATCCTGAAATATTTTCTTCGAATTATTAACACGTGCGTTTGAAGAACGTTTTTTTTTGAAGCGATAAAATTCAATTTTCCATATTTAACCGTTACATTTTGAAATCAATTGAAAATCAATAACTTTCCCATTACTGTATGAGCAAAATAGAATGTGGCTAGGTAACATAATGAAGCAAAGTCTTAGTTTTCGTAAAGACATCGATGGGCGCTCCACCACAAATATATCATAAGAATCTTACAACTGTGACACTTTGTCCCTATCCCATCAGGCCATACACGAATTTTAACCACAAATAAAGAGTCTAACCTTAAAAAACGAGTTCATTGCCTTGCAAAAATGTTCTTGAAAAAGCAATTTTTATATCAAACAAGTTGTTTTTGGGAATATCTAAGATCACCTAATATCTAAGATCATCTCTGATGTAGTGTTAAACTTCCATGATGATCACATCCAGAATGAAAAACCAATGTCCTTTTTAAAAGCTCTCCTTATCGGGGGTTCTTTAAACAATTTAAATGGCCTTATCTATACAGGCGTTGATAATTCATCCTTTATGAGGGGAGCGTATGCTACCTAAGCAACGAATACTATAGCGTTATCGCAATGATGGATTTCACATGTTTTAATCTTTCATAAACTGAAAACCCTATTTTCATTATCAAATTAAGAAACCGCGTCCACCAAAAAGGCTCCTATAGAGGTTACTGTTTTTCATTTCTCGTTACATTTGAATATGACCTTGTAGCCATACAAAGTAAACAGTCTTTAAATGTTGAAATGAATTTCTTTGCATATAGTTAGGCAAAATAATGATATAAAAATAGAACGAAAAAATCAAAAAATAAATTTAATATGTCAGACAAACAATACTAAGTTTTACTACTGATGATATTCTGAAAACAAATTTTGATACATTTTTTCATACATGAAATTGGATTGATGCAGGATATGTGTAGGTAAAATGTTATTTCATGAAGAAAGTCATTGCTGAATACAAATTTCTTTAACAAGATTTTGGCCACTAAAATATTTGTAAAACCAATAGCATATAAGAGAATTGGGAAGAGAGAGTTCCAATCAAGAAGTCAATGGCCTTCCTTTTGAGGATAGAAACTTTTTACAGCATGAGTTTAAGACAAGATATAACACCAATATCAACCCTTGATTATTTTCTGTTGTTTTAGTCATACCAAATGATTGAATACTTTTAGTCAAAAGTTGTTTAACTCCAACGTTTGAACCTAGCGTGCAGGATGAACTTGTGTATTTAAGACCTGGTGAAAAAATATTGAATGAAAAAATAATTTTTAGCCGATATATAAAAACAAACAAGATCATGAATTAAGTAGAACCGACTATTAAACAAATACTGGATGACCATGAATATAGAAGCGCAAATGCCAAAAGGAAAGAGTGACTAAAAACTTTAAAGAAACCCAACAAGAAAAGCAAACTGAAAGTGTAAATCTGTCATAAGAAAAGTAGACCCTTTATATCCCAAAACCATGATCTAACGTGGAAAGAAACAATGTCTAACATCCCCCTCCCCCCTCCGATCGAGAACCAATATCACAATCTAGGACCAGAATACCAAGGGACATTTCATTTATACTGAAGTCATTACAATAAATGTTGAAGAAAAAATTAGAAATTGATAGCCAATACTCATAACATCAAAAATAGTTGTACATACTAATACTCATAAAAGATAGAGTATTCAGTCTCAAATGATGTTGGGTAGATAAAATCCTGTCTCGAAGTCCATGGGCAGTTCAAAGGGTGAACATCCATTCGCAAAGCCGTCATCATAATCCATAAAACACAACAATTCACAATGGTCATCAGGAGGAAACTATGGCTGGTTTCGATCCCTATTTCTCAACCATTAATGCCATAGCCGGGATCCACCTCAAAAGGTACCAATTGTGAAACAATTGTGAGTTCATTGCAAAATTATACAATTCCTACATCCTTCAGCATCTCAAGTGGTAAAATTTGAAATTTCAAAATTAATGACTTGTACTTTTCAGTAAAGTCTAGGAAAGATTTCTTAATTTGTTTTTACAAGTGGATATGCCAGGTGGATATGGCAGAATACCTATCCGAGGAAAAAAATATAAAAAATGTTTTTTCGAGGGTCATCCAGTATTTATTTTATTATGCACCTCCCTTGAGAAATACTTTATTTTAAAGAATGGGTCTACTAAAACAGAAGCCGAGCCTAGTATTTGTTTTCGAGGATAGGTATTCTGGCATACGGGATGATCTTGCTGCCACGTATAGCAATAGACCCTGCAGCTCTTAACCAATCAGATTTGAGAAATTTAATGAGGTGCATAATAATATAAATTACCTTTTACAGAGTAGTCCAAAAAGCATTCACACTTTTGATAATATACCATTTTCTAGTGATAGTGAAACTTCACAATCTTTTTCATAGACCTGTCTAACAAACATTTGTGTGGTCTAAGTTTTTTCTCGTTTACAACTATTTGGCGAGCACATCTCAATAGTTTGTGATGATCTTGATTCAATAATTTGAGCTCAAAAATAATTTAAACAACCTGACCATTAGTATTATGAAAAATACGTTGATCACATTAGGGTAACCATAAATTATGTCGAAATTGACCTGTCTTAGTGAACACAACATTTATTGTGAACACCTGTGTCTAATAAACACCTTTTTTCAGCACATACTCCTCTGTGTTCAGTCAAAATGGCCTCTGTAGTGACAACCTACTTATAATGAACACATTTTTGTGGTTCCATAGATGTTCATTGTACACAGGTTTTATTGTACCTCAAGATTTATGGCAAACCTGTATTTAAAGAATGAAGACGCTTTATTTTATTAAGGCTCATTTTGAAGAAAATTTAAATTTATTTAAAGGGCATTTAGTTCAATCTCACATATCTGATAACTTGGATCACTTGGCTGAACACGGACCAAAGCAGCGTAACAGTCGCCACCACACTCGCAGATCCATTCAAACTGAGCGGAACTCAAACTAACCGGAGCATTACACTTAGTCGTTGTTGCATTGCCCACTTCAGCATTGATGTCGTACGTCTGATACACATCAAAATCACCCGCAGCTCCACCGTTTGTTGTAATCTTCAGTTTGAATTCTTGAAGGCCAATCGCATTCGTGTAAAGCATTAGATTTCTCCCGGCTAGCTCAGCAACATCGAAGGAACAAACAGATGTATCCATGTCAGTCAAGGTCCGAAGACTGGGTTTCTTTTTAACATCGAACGTATCGTCCACTATCGGGGATGATGCTGTCAGCATGTTGTTTCCTAAAATGAACACATACTTAACATGTTGTTTCCTATAATGAACACAGAATTAACATGTTGTACCCTATAATGAACACATAGTTAACATGTTGTTTCCTATAATGAACACAGATTTAACATGTTGCTTGTATAATGAACACAGATTTAACATGTTGTTTCCTATAATGATTACAGACTTAACATGTTGTTTCTATAATGAACACAGATTTAACATGTTGTTTCCTATAATGAACACAGACTTAACATGTTGTTTCTATAATGAATACAGATTTAACATGTTGTACCCTATAGCGAACACAGACTTAACATGTTGTTTCCTATAATAAATACAGATTTAACATGTTGTTTCCTATAATGAATACAGCTTTAACATGTTGATTCCTCTAATGAACACAGACTTAACATGTTGTGTCCTGAAGAGAGTGTACATTTGTCATACCTGTGAAAATCTGAATTTCTCTGAAACCAACATACATGCTGCTCGAAGACGCTGGCATCGTAGTTAAAACGGTGAATTTCACAAAGTTAGAGCGTCTAGCCTTTGGGAGAGGGTAAGATGTCCATTTTGATGTTGAGCAATCAACGTATTGTACCTCAACAGCAGTAACCTTAGTGCAGATATAAAAGGCTTTATTGTTTAATGCCATGGTGACATTTGCTCCGATCTTCAACAACGGCCCCCGATCGATGATTATTAGTATTTTGTTCATAACTGAATGCAATTTTGGACAAAATACTCATCAGCCAGGCGCCGGTTTTGAAAATCGGAGGAAATGTGACCATGGCATTAGCAGATTGTATTTTGAATAGCTCTTTACTTTAGTAGCCAACGTAGTAATGATAAGTGTTTACAAAAGTCAAAAATTGTATGTATTTTATAAAGCGTACTATAGGCAGGTTGTATTGAATTATCAAGGAGTAGCATATATACATCAATCAATTCAAATTACGTACAGTTTCTGTCGAAGCATCACTGAACTCCACCGAAACATCTCTCATTTGCTGATTTAGGGATATTCGATTTATAAACTTCACAACAAAAATCCAGTAGTTTGCATCCATTGTTATCTGAATCCAACCAGCATTGCCGCCAGAGAAACAACCAAATGCATGTTCAGCTTTTAATGTACCATCATTCACGTGCGCCTTCGACCTTCCCGCATCTACCTGTGAAGATCCGGTTGCGATACCTCCTCGTGACGTCACAGCTTTATTGACCAATGGGCCGAAATCTGACAATGACACACACATAATACATATTTCTTCATTGCGACCAATTCTGATCATCAAACATAATCATTTATAATAATAATTCAATGTAATGTAAGAAAATAGAAATAATATATACACTGTTGCATGATTGTGCTATTGTGTTATTGTGCTATAGTTTCTAGATCAGCCGATAGGTGGCATCATTGTATAGTCTCAAACCAGAAGTGAAAATAAAGTTGAGTTTTCAAATCTCCAAATTAAATCGTTTATTATTCTGTTCTAAGGTGAAAAGAATCTTCTATTACATATCGTAACATACACTTTTAGTGTTAATTATTTACAGGGTGAGAGCCTTAATTCTCCCAGTTGGTACATCTGGTATATCGTCCTTACAATCAGGAAACGATCATCAAAACAAATGGGAGCAAATCAGGAAACAATCATCAAAACAACTGGGAGCAAATAAAGCTGACGTAATTTCCCGATTTGCCAATAAATATGATCGAATCGGACCCTTAAATATTCAAGCATTTTACATTTTTTTTTATAAAATGAATCAAGGTGTTAGGTGAGTTGCACATTAGACAAAGTCTATTTACATGTGGTTCTGAGCAACGCTCAACACCTTCGACTTAAGACGTATCAGCAACTTCGATTTATATTTCATTTCTGGTTTATACAGGGTGGTCAAAATAAACACCAACCCTAGTTTTTTCTAATATCTTTGTCAATCTAAAAAATAACTCCCTGATATTTTACACATTTGTACATCATTCAATTTCCTACCAACCTACCATATTTCATGACCATCAGACTGATAGTCACAATATTACTGCATTTTAAACAACATGCCCCAGATGGCCACTTTCGGGCTGTCTGAGCTGGTCTGTTATTCAAATGAACTCAATTTCCAACTCGATGCACTGGTAAACTCTAACAATTGTGTACTCTTGGGGAGCCAAGCACTTGGTGAAGTAGTGGAGAGGCACCTTCACACAGACAGATGCACAGTTTTGTGTGTTCTCAGAAGATAGGGTCCTTTACCTTTGATGATATCAACGGATATGCAATAACTGCCAACATCAAACTCTATTTTGTGATCCTCATATAAGGTTTTTGAGGACTTTAGGTGAACCCAGGGGGGCTGATAGGCAGCAACAGTGATTTCAACAAGACAGAACCATACGCCATACACCCAATGGTGCACAATAATGGCTTTGGGACCACTTCAATGACCATATTATCAGCAGTACAACAGACAATGAAAGGGCACCCCATAGTCCAGATATGGCCCCATTCAATCTTTACCAGTGGGGATACCCCAAAGATAAAGTGTAGGGTAATAACACCAGAAAGACATTTGACCTCAAAATAAAGATCACATGTGTCGTTCAGGCCATTCTTGCTGAGGAATGCAGTTCATTGACATTGACAGGTTTGGAAAAGGTTTGCCTATAGGACGACATTGGAAAACTGGGGCACCTTGTTTAAAGTGCTGTAACATTGCGACTATCAGTCCAATGTTCATGAAATGTCGCTGTCTAGTATGATATTGTATGATGTACACGTGCGCCAAATATCAGGGCAAAATAAATGACAAAGATATGAGGAAAAATTAGGGTTGCCGTTTTTTTGTATTTGCACAATTGGTACCATATAATAAGTGGTCGGGTAGTGACTACTTCTTTGTAATGCTTAATTTTTTTGTATGTTAAGCATTTTAGATACCATTTATGAGTCGAATGATAAAGAAGAGAGTTTTTGCAGTGATATATATTCTAATGGAAAAACGCCACTTGCGATTTAACCGCCCATTCTACCTAATAAATCATACTAGATTCCAAGTTTTACAATCTCCCTTATTTGGGAACATACAAGGGTGTCCGGAAAGTAAAGATACAAATGCTCTAATTTCAATAGAGTTACCTGTTGTGAGATGAAATTACTAGAGATTGTAGAATGACATTATGATAATATATCCTGAAACTGTCATGACAAATTGTTGTAAAATAAAAAAGTTATGGTTGTTATGGTAACAGGAGTCGCGGGTATGTGGAGCAGCATCACAATTATGTTTTATAATTCTTTTCTCCTGTTCATATCATCTTGACACTCCATCGTCTGTTGCTATCATACATCAGATTATGTACCACAACAGCAAAGGATTAGTACTGTAACATTATTTATTTATTTGACACTACTACTGTTATCCAGTATTATGTATTTCCCACCATTATCTAAATATTCTTTGTGAATTTTGACCGGAGATTCAAAGACTTGACAAAACCACTGCTGTCAATCTCTAAGATTGCTGATAACATTGGCTTCCAGCTGAGTCTCATTTTTATGTTGAACTTCTAACAAATATTGTTTTATTAACTATTCATTAATGTAGAAGTCCAACTGGCCATTATCAGAGGGTAATATGGGCCATTGTGCAAAAAGGTTTAATGTCAAGACATACAATTGTAAGATTTGTTTTCTTTTGCTTTGTGAATTGGTGCATTGACTGAGGAGGTGGACTGTTGACTTTCCTATTAATCCAGGGACCCCTTTTCTAAGCACTCATATACTTTTTCTATGATTATACTGGTGACATTACATAGTTATGATATGTATCAATGATATCATTATACTAAAGAGAATACTATGGCAGCAAGAATACAATATTGAAAACAAAACATTGATAAAAAATACAATAATAAACACTGTTTCAAATGGTTATATTTTTGCAATTCATCACAATTTAGCGATATCCTGAAACTGCTCCGCATACCCCTCACCACCGTTACTATGACAACCGTAATTTTAACGCGTTTAGACAATATGTTACAAAAGTTGGTAGATGTATTGTAATATAGTTCCTCTACAATCTGTAGCAATTTCATTACAAAAAAACTAAATCTATTAAAATTAGAGTATTTGTATCTTTACTTTCCGGACACCCTGTATGGACAGTTGGACAAAGAAACTGTTTTGAACGGAAGGTTGTACAGATCCATCTATATGGAAAAATAAGTTAAGTAAACTAAACTCCTCGTTTACCAAAAATATAGAACACAACTACTAAATTAATTTTCAAATAGTAATGGCCTTGTGGGCGAGTATGACATTTATTCATCAGTCCATTACATCAAGCAACTATACATCTCGTTCCTTACCACAAATCTCAACTTCTGAATGTTACTCTGAGCAACATTTTGCTGACCGACAGCATCGTATAATGTCAATATCAAATTCTGTAATATTCGCCTTGCACTATTAAGTCTAATAGTAAATCATAAAATTCTGTTTTGAGCAATAAGTAAAGGCGTAGTAGCCAAGCTGACCGACATCGTTATACTAAGCTGACCGACAGCGTTAGTGTGCTTTTTCAACTGAATCAGTTCTAACATGATATCCAAATGTTTTTTACTGTGTAAATACCTTAGTAACAGGCAAGGAAGCCTTACATTTACTCTAAAATGATTGGTAAGCTATTATCATTCCTGAACTTAAGGTAAGCTCGTAACAATTAATATTAATAAAACAAGTGTTATTACATGAAATAAACAAGGTTAATCGAAAATCTCTCAACTTCCGGTGACCCAACCTTAACCCCCTTTGTAAGGAGGGAGGAGGTACTCGACTTAAAGTCGGCCCCGTGATCCGAAATGAAGCAGAGTTACGGACGAGGACTTCGATAAACGATTCACCTGTTCTTAACAATGCCATGTTTGGTATTTTGAAAATTTTACAAATATAAAAATCTAAATCATTTGCCTGTGTAACTTTGTCATACCTCGCTTGCGTGTAAACCGAGATGACCTTACATTACATACATAATTCACATGTCCATACGAAATACTCCAAGCGTGAATACCCTACTCACTTACCACCTACGATCACCCTAATAAAAATGCTACGCAGTAAACAATCCGCCTTCCGAAATACTTAAAGTAATTTTCAAACTGATTCGTTACACTCAAACGTTAGAAAATCTATGTATGTAAGGTACAAAATACAATAACAACATATGATCTCTGCTACACTCAGCTAATTTGGAAAGTTCAAAACCGTCCGATTTAAAAAACCCACGATCAGATTCAGGAATGTTGTACAGATCCATTTATATGGAAAAACAAGGTATGTAAGGTACAAAATACAATAACAACATATAATCTATGTTACACTTAGCTAATATAGAAAGCTTAAAACTTCGTCGATCAGATTCAGGAAGGTTGTACAGATCCATCTATTTGGAAAAACAAGGTGTGGTAGGTAAAAATATAAGATAAAGTTCTGTGTTACAATTTTTACATCCTCCTAAGCAGGTGTCCAGAATACGTAACTCCTTTCCTTTTGCTATAACCAATTTGGAAGCGCCCGATTAAACTGAATCACGTGAACTTATTATGCGCAATGACTTATACATGATTTCTGTCGCAGTGTTGCGACAGCCAATCAGATTGCGAGTTCTTAATCGGGGAAATGCTAACTGCTTATCGCAGGGGGTAAAAAGAAAGAATATATTCTGGATTTTGAAGCCCTGTGATCGGAGGTTACAATTTTTATAAGTCGTTATTGATGCTTCCTTGTACGCTTATTGCATTACCTTGACGGTTGTGCCTTCACTCATCTCGATCATCACTTGACTCGCCTGTGTTAAGATACTCTCTCTGTTCTGTATCAGACTAACTTCCTTTATCCAATATGGTCGGGCCAAGGTTATATTGATCCACCCTCCAACGTTGTTGGATGAGTCTAAAGTACAACAATGACAAATGAGCTAAACCAAGTGTAACTTTGCTATAATGGACTTACGAGATGCCGGTTGTCTAATAAAGACTCCAACAGTCCCGACTCCGTTTAAGGAAAATGAATTGATGTTCAAGGCTAGGCTATATCTGGTAATAGTTTTTAGAAAGTTAAGCCAATTTTACATTTTATTAAAATGGATATTTTAGTAACTGGAATCGTCAATTTCTTCAATATTTGATCAGATTTGCCAATTACCTTTCAGAAAACAGACGTAGAATAGCAGTCATAAGCATGTTTTTGAAGATTAGTGGTACAAAAATGCAATATTACATTTGACCTGTATGAACACCGTGACGATTGAAATACAAACGTTTAAAATGGTAAGGTATCTGAATAAAATACATACTAGAATCCGAGTATGCTTTCCACATGTCATCCGATGTATAATGAAGCCGGCCATCTATAGCGTTGTCACATGACCAAGTTGCGTTACTTCCGGAACATTCAACAGAAGCCCTGGATGATAGTTTCCCCACATCTGCACTTACACGATCTTCTGTAAAAGAAAATCAAGAAAAACCGATCTCTTGAAATGTTCCCTAAATTATAGATGCGCGGTTATTGAATGGCCTTGGTCATATCATCATTCATATTGACAAATTCAAAACTAGCAAAACAATCAAATGAATAATTTAAACCATGCATTGTAGCCATGCAGTTTCCTAAACAAAGAAACAATTCAACTATCGATCTGTATTGGCGACAACACAATGCCTTTCGGTCTCATTTATAGGTCATAATTTAATCCGTATTTCAATCAATGTATCAGGCTTGTTTTTCCCCCATATAATTTTAGATAAGCCAACCATCGTTATCCATATACAGATTGGCACTACATAGTACATTTGGATCTTCTCAACATAACATGTGCTTAAAGCCACACACAGACATTTTACCTATATTATAAAACCCCAAAAAGTAATAAATATGACACTGTGTAAAATAAAAATGAGATAAAAAATATATAGTGGCTCAGTAATAGTAGTAGCTACGACATAAAGAAAAACAGAAAGGGATTTGCCATGGCCGGGATTCGGACCTGGAAAAGTGTATTCACAAGTCTGATGCTTTAGCCACTGGGCCACGGCCTGGGCTTGAACTGAGAGAGTAATTTTCAATATAGATTGCAAATTTTTGAAAATATTTTTTAATTAACTTAACACTCAATCAGAACTCCATGACATACCCATTTGGGTTATGCTTAGACTTAACACTAAATCAGAACTCCATGACATACCGATGTGTGTTATGTTTAGACTTAACACTCAACCAGAACTCCATGACATACTCATTTGTGTTATGTTTAGACTTAACACTCAATCAGAACTCCATGACATACCCATTTGCGTTATGTTTAGACTTAACACTCAATCAGAACTCCATGACATACCCATTTGTGTTATGTTTAGACTTAACACTCAATCAGAACTCCATGACATACCCATTTGTGTTTTGTTTAGACTTAACACTCAATCAAAACTCCATGACATACCCATTTGTGTTTTGTTTAGACTTGACACTAAATCAGAACTCCATGACATACCGATGTGTGTTATGTTTAGACTTAACACTCAATCAGAACTCCATGACATACTCATTTGTGTTATGTTTAGACTTAACACTCAATCAGAACTCCATGACATACCCATTTGTGTTATGTTTAGACTTAACACTTAACAGAACTCCATGACATACCCATTTGTGTTTTGTTTAGACTTGACACTAAATCAGATGACATACCCATTTGTTTTTTGTTTAGACTTGACACTCAAATCAGAACTCCGTGACATACCGATGTGTGTTATGTTTAGACTTAACACTAAATCAGAACTCCATGACATACCCATTTGTGTTTTGTTTAGACTTAACACTAGATCAGAACTCCATGACATACCCATTTGTGTTATGTTTAGACTTAACACTCATCAGAACTCCATGACATACCGATGTGTGTTATGTTTAGACTTAACACTAAATCAGAACTCCATGACATACCCATTTGTGTTTTGTTTAGACTTAACACTAGATCAGAACTCCATGACATACCCATTTGTGTTATGTTTAGACTTAACACTCATCAGAACTCCATGACATACCCATTTGTGTTTTGTTTAGACTTAACACTAGATCAGAACTCCATGACATACCCATTTGTGTTTTGTTTAGACTTTACACTCATCAGAACTCCATGACATACCCATTTGTGTTATGTTTAGACTTAACACTCCATCAGAACTCCATGACATACCCATTCGTGTTATGTTAAGACTTAACACTAAATCAGAACTCCATGACATACCCATTTGTGTTATGTTTAGACTTAACACTAAATCAGAACTCCATGACATACCCATTTGTGTTATGTTTGGACTTAACACTAAATCAGCACTCCATGACATACCCATTTGTGTTATGTTTGGACTTAACACTCAAATCAGAACTCCATGACATACCCATTTTTTAAAAAGAATAATGTGTATTCTACTTTACCTTCAAAACGGAACCCAGTGTCGTAAACATTATTCTTCAAACCGGAACCACATGTCTGAGTGGCGCCTTCGCCTGTGCACATCATGTTGCAACTTGATTCATCTAATTTGCCGTGTTTTCCATAGGAATGTCCACACCGACATTCGTTTCCGTATTGCATTCCTTAAATGTAAAGTACAAAAATAACTCCTAAAATAGTTATCGATTATGCTTATATCAGTGATATTATAGTCCATGGTATGAAATTCCTAGGGAGCCAAATAAAGATGCTGGTAACACAATATAGCGCAGCGATATTTGACCTAGTTTCTACATGTTGGGCCAATAAAGACATTTTTTATCTATTAAATATTTTTTATTATTGCAGGTCAATCCATAACAATTCAGATAATCGTAAAATGATTATTTGTGAAAATGTTAAAGAAAAAATATGAATGTATCATTATTTTTGGCTTGTCATGGTCAAGATTTGTATGCGTGTGTCATGAAAAATTTCCAAATGTTCTCCCTTTAGGACATCACTGCTGAAAATACAGTATCGTTCATACCATACAATATGTACCCTTCAAATGATCTCATCAATTAGAACATATGTAGTTATCTCTAGGATTAGCAAGACATGTCTCCCTTGGATAATATAGAATAGCTGTTCTCAGATGCTTTTTAATCTGGCATCTCAGAAAAGCCATTTATGATTGCCAAATTCAGCCAAGACTGATTGTTCAGGTGAGTGGAGGACAAGGAAAGCCTTGCATTGGGTAATTAAATTGTTGAGCTTGTATATCCATATATACACAATGAATTGTTCTTCAATTAGCCAAAGTATTAAAGATAATACTATAGGTTCAATTGTTGCTGCCCTTTATTGTGCTACGGATTTTTTTTTATATTCCAGAGTCATACCGTGGTCTAATACAATCATTTCTCAATAGACTAGATGCGAGTAAAAATGATCTTGATTTACGTCATTAAATATTCAAAATTTAGTCAAAGTGATGTCATATTTGAAATCTACATGTAAAAATACATCTAAAAATATGGTTTCGAAAATTGTTCATCAACTTTGAAAATTTAATCTTTATTGAAAATGTGACTTCTAGTTCGGGTTGATTCCCCATAGACCCCATATTACAAAATCACAAAAAGTGAAATATCTTTTCTTGTATTGGACATATAATATTTTCTTTTACTGGACATACTTTAATTTGCATAACTATTCGATACATAAGGGCTTTATGAAAATTGAACCACTAAAACAGATGTAACTTAAGTTAAAATGAACTTTCTACAATACCCGCAATGCTATCTGACCACCTGGTGGTGAAACTGGTAACTACCTACTCGCATTTGCGTTATTGCAAATGAAAAGTTCCAAAAATGCCATTTGATGAAAATGCTAATGCAGATAATCTTGGATGAGGACAAGGCTTGGATAGAATATATAGATGATTTAAATCAGTAAAAAAATGATTGTAGTTCTCTAATATGTAAAAACGTAAAAAGAATATGTTAAAAATTGTAGCATGCAAATAGTTTGAAGTGGCAAACAATTGAATTAGATAGTTATTTTTCGGGATTTGAACATCTAAACGTAAACGATTTTAGAACAGCAACTAAAGATGGCCGAACATCTAACCCTAACCCCTCAAGGAACTTGATTGGTTCCTTGAAGCATGTTCGATTCGACAATCTTCGTGATATAAACGTTTTCGTTTGCCGTACATCGGTGCTTTCCGTACCCGAACCTACCCGAGTAACGGTAGCCTTGACCTTTGCAGGCCACGATACAGTCCCAACGGTTGTTCTTGTTGGAAATTCTTAAGCCTAAATCACGGTTTCCGGCGTTGTCTTGAAAACAACCTAAATAAGCTGAAAACAGAATGGAAGATAAACAATAATAAACAAATAACTTTCAAATCACCTTTTTTACTATATTGTGGAGTTAATGTGTTAATGTGTTCATTATTCATTATAAAATCGATCAATACAATATCAGCGCAAAGCGAGTGGAACCAAAGATGTACGATAATAATATAATAAAAAATATACGCAAAGGTATCAACGGGAAAGTACCAAAGATGGTCACAGAAAACATCTAAGAGTACACCAGTCATAAGATGAAACAAACCCTACAATCCCAAATCGTAATCCATTCAAGTACTAAAATGATCAAAATCATAATTCGAAACCATAACACTAAGGGACATTTCATTTATTTTATAATAACTTTACACAATTTCTTGTGCGTCTCTGCTGGGACGTTTAGCTTTTGTTGATATTAAAGATAAAAACAGGCGATATTTTGTCAATAAATGGAAGATCAATTGATCATTGACCATTAGCGAAATAACATCAACCAGAATTCCTTAAAGAATAAGGTGTCATCTTACCCCGGATAACGATTGGGAATTTTTGGTCCTGTGGTACTTGTGTGTGTACAATGTACAGGTATATTTCGATATGTATATGATTGGGGCAAGTAAAATGACACAATCAAGTAATCATTATTCAAGTAAATAACTGTGAAAATAAAATAAATCATTTCAGATTTTACTCACTGTGGTCGTTGTAGATTCTTCCATGTATAACGCTGTATGAAACTGTAATTGCAATGAGCAGTAGCTGTAGAAATGTTCCACGGTTCATTTTTAGTTCCATTTGCATGAAACTGCCTCGTCCTTGCTGGAACTATCTTACTGAAGATGAGTCTCAGCAGGATGGGTTGACAACGATTCAAACTTGTCACTATTGGATATGATTGATAGATGACAAAGACAAGTTGACTTTTTTAAATTATTTATCGAGTTGGAATTGTTTTACATAATTTATATGAATCAACTGAGTTTGAAATGACTCTGAGTTTGAAACCGTATGACATGTATTGTATAATCGATATTGTGATTTGGTGTTGTGATAGTGAACAAAAATATTCTAACTTTCTGTGTTATCTTATTTGTTTGAGTACGTTTTATAATGTCACCACCAGAAGCAATGACATATTGATTTAGCCCAACATTTTTGTTATTGGTGTTAGGTGTTTGGCGTTCGGTTTATAAGCATATAAGAAAAATGGTCCTATCTAGTGAATTGATTTTGATAGCTTTAATTCAGAAGAAATTAATAGGTTCTATTAAAGGTATATTTAAATTCACGTCATTGAAATAACACGGGATGCGACAATGATTTTTTCAAAATTGACTTTGATATTCTGTTACTTTATAGACAATCTAGGGAACCTTGGCATATATTCTTTGAAGCAATTTAATCTTCTCTATAAAATATTTCTTATTGATTTGATAAAGACATTTTGTAAATGATGGAAAAACTCACGAAAATTATGAGGAACTGCAACTGAGATCAATTTATAGAATTGTTCATAAGATTTTCTAGGTTTTTGATAAAAAACAATGATCCTTTAAGAGGAGGCAAAATGTCTCCAAATGAAAGTGTATCACTGAATTTCCCAGACCCCAATCCCATCATTTGTTAAAATCCAATATTGTTTAAATTGATGAATCAAATTAAACAAAATATTTGATAATTGCAACATTACAATAGTTAATCTAAGAATATTACAAATGGTCCACGTAGCACCACTAGGGCATTGTTCAATTTTACCTCGTGATAATGGTGGCAGAATATATCAAATAAATTAATAAAAATGATATCTATAGATAGATAGATAGATAGATAGATAGATAGATAGATAGATAGATAGATAGATAGATAGATAGATAGATAGATAGATAGATAGATAGATAGATAGATAGATAGATAGATAGATAGATAGATAGATAGATAGATAGATAGATAGATAGATAGATAGATAGATAGATAGATAGATAGATAGATAGATAGATAGATAGATAGATAGATAGATAGATAGATAGATAGATAGATAGATAGATAGATAGATAGATAGATAGATAGATAGATAGATAGATAGATAGATAGATAGATAGATAGATAGATAGATAGATAGATAGATAGATAGATAGATAGATAGATAGATAGATAGATAGATAGATAGATAGATAGATAGATAGATAGATAGATAGATAGATAGATAGATAGATAGATAGATAGATAGATAGATAGATAGATAGATAGATAGATAGATAGATAGATAGATAGATAGATAGATAGATAGATAGATAGATAGATAGATAGATAGATAGATAGATAGATAGATAGATAGATAGATAGATAGATAGATAGATAGATAGATAGATAGATAGATAGATAGATAGATAGATAGATAGATAGATAGATAGATAGATAGATAGATAGATAGATAGATAGATAGATAGATAGATAGATAGATAGATAGATAGATAGATAGATAGATAGATAGATAGATAGATAGATAGATAGATAGATAGATAGATAGATAGATAGATAGATAGATAGATAGATAGATAGATAGATAGATAGATAGATAGATAGATAGATAGATAGATAGATAGATAGATAGATAGATAGATAGATAGATAGATAGATAGATAGATAGATAGATAGATAGATAGATAGATAGATAGATAGATAGATAGATAGATAGATAGATAGATAGATAGATAGATAGATAGATAGATAGATAGTGACAAGATTAAAACCATTTCCGGTCCATTATACGTTTAATAATAACGTTAATGGTAATAAGATCATATGGTAGAACTCTCCTTACTTTTTTGCACCATTGAGATGCATGTTAAATTTCAGAGAAATACGGTGAAACATCTCACCATCATGTCAAAAAAAATTCAACAAAAATATCCGACGATACATAGTTGTGTACCTAAACGCCATCATATTTGTGTACATTGACCAATTCACCACTACCAAGCTCATCCCTCCGCAGAAAATAATCCCAAATATTTTACCGTTCACTGTTATGATCACATGTTTCCCAGTTATTCTGGGCATTATATGTCTGCAAATTAGAGTATTCTATCCAATAGATGGTGCTGTGGTATACCACTGAAGTCCCCAAACAGGTTTTTAACAGAACTCTATCAGTCGATTTTACTTCGTGCAAAGACCACACGTGAGTTCATATCCATTTATATATTTTGTACAAGGAATTAAGCACCACATTTGACTTCCACCACATACAGAAGACCATTCGACACTAGGCAGAGCTAACCCCATACTCCTATATCTGCTTCATATGGGCTTATTAGCCCTTTGCAGATTATTGACATAGACATAGACTTCATCAAATCATTCACCATTTTGTTATGAAAATAAGTTTCAGAAGAAGAATAATATTGCCTTTTGAACAGCCATCTTCCTTCCCGAGAAGAGCCCTATGTCCCTAAGGCATCAGCAAATAAAATTTGAACCGTAAATGTCAACAGTTATTTGAGTCATCAAGATTACATTTTTATGAAAAAGGTAGCCATTTTGAATAAAGCGGTTATCTCGAAAATTCCATTTTGTGCTAAATCCTATGTCCCTTAGGCATCGGCATATTGAATTGAAGTAAACTTGTCAACTGGCATGCGAGCTACTAAAAATTACATTTCAACGAAAATATAGTGGCCGTTTTATAGACAGTTGCCATCTTGAAAATTCTTTCTTGACCAGAGCTCTCTGTCCCCATGGCACCAGCATATACAATCTAAACCAAATTCTTTGTCATAAAGGTATCAGCATATAAAATATGAACCAAATCCGTCGACTGGTACTTGAGCTATCAAAAATTTGCTTCCTAGTCAACTCGTACCCAAGACAACTCGTACCCAAGACAACTTGTACCCAAGACAACTCGTACCCAAGTCAACTGGTACCCAAGACAACTCGTACCCACGTTTATTTTCTGTATTATGGGTGCATATAAGAAAACAAATTGAGTCTGTGTCAAAATGTTTAATGTTATAATGTGCCTCAATATTTTTTCTGAATTTAGAAGACATTTTTTCTCAATGGATTAAGCAAAGCATTTTGTTTTAACTTGGATTACCTTTGAAGTGCTTTGAAGGGCTTGTTCTCAACTTTTTTTGTAATACATATATATAAATGAATATAATTACAACAGTAACTTTTCAACAAATGAATCAAACAATTAATTTAGCTTAGTGCATTCAGAGAAAATTAATAAGGGAACTTTAATCTGTTAATTTCTTTTCCATTTTGAACTTAATTGGATTATATTTGAACACATGCATGCAAAGTGTATTATATCATGTATGAATAAGTATCAAAATAATATTTGATATTCATATTATTTAGAATATTTTTATTGCTTAATTTTATGAAGGTGACTTCTTAGAATTATCATTCTTTAATCTGATAATATGAAATCCTAAATAGATTATCTGTTTAATAAGAAATAGGCGCAAGTTTTGAAAATCTTTATATTTTTGATAATACCATATTTCAAGATGAATTAGATCTGATACTTGTTCCAAACACTCATTAACATACAAAAATACCACTAATATTGTGAACAATGATTATGAATATGTGGAATAATTAAAATTCAACACGTTTGAAATTAGAGTTGAATTATTTTATTTCCGGTTGATATAACGTCTTAGCGTTAGTGAAATCGAACGCGATTTCAACTGATTGGATAACATGATGTGATCATGAGTAGGTTATGTGAGTGGATGCACGATGGGATCGTGTTATTCTGCGAGTAGCAACCGAAGCGTTTATACACAGTTTAAGCATGATGCGTCTATTTTTGATGCATTCGGTCTTTATCATTTAGCCCTTGTTATATGCTTATTTTGATACCTAAGTATACGATGAACAGAGGATGCATTTACTGCAATACCGTCAATGTGTTTCTACATTGGATTGATACTCATCTTTCGTGCTGATGCAGTAAGAAAACGTCAACGATTTGGCAAGGGTAAGAAGTAGTTTATATTGAAACAAGTAATCTTTTGCAATTTCGTAAGGTTTAGAAAAGATAGAAAAGATTGTTGGACCTTTTATGAAAATGCTCTGCATAAACGATTTAAACGATTTTATACATGTAAACCCGAAAAGTGACCATGTGATCGTTTGAGTTCCAGTAACATCGAAAGATGCGACGCCACCCGAGAGGTGCGCCGGTGCATGAGAAGAAGTAACGCTGAGGGCCAATGTTTGGATTGTGAGTAACGCTAAACAAGGAGGGTTCAGCTATCGCAATGAATAAGATAAGTAGTTGTTAACAGATTTGCTTAGTATATCAAATATCCTTTTTTAATGTAAGGATACTGGGTTTTGCTAAACATATTTAGATTGGTCATAGGTGCAGGAGCACTAAAGATTGCAAGATATATTGTTCAGTCACGGGCAAGACGCCACACTGCTACATACGTTGGATATTTGTAACTTGACTGTCAAAATGTTCATGTTTTTGAAATCTTTCAGATATTTAGGTAACGACGCAAACTGGTACGTTTTCCGATGATTTGTATAAACTGCATTTTAGGTGTTTTTAGGGAGATGGGATCCATACAAACAAACATCCTATTTAGATGTGGCAGTTTTTAAACCGGAGTTACGGTTTTAGGATTGTTAAGTTGTTTCAGACATGGTATTAGCAAGGTGCAAATATGCTCACTCAGTTTTGCAAAAAACAGCGTTGGGCAAAGATTTTTAAAATGATATTTTATAGCAAACGTTTTTCAAATGAACTCTGTGTTGCGCATATACAGAGATAGATATTACAATTATAGTTTTTGTATAAAGTTGTGCAACGTAAGCATTTTAATAAGTCATGACAAACAACTAACGAGTTGTGTTACTGAAGAGTCATTGAATTGTTAAATGTCGTCGATTGGTGAGCCATATTGGTATACCATTTAAGTTATTAGCTAATAACGCGTATTTGTATTTAGAACAGACATTAATTGTCGTGAATCGTTACTGGGAAGGTTGGATTCAGACATACACATTGGATACTTCATATCCTGCAAGTGAAATTGTACACTTGTATTTTCATATCTTTTATTATCAAGAGGATACTTGGATTCGACAGATTCATAATGAATTTTTGTGAGCTACATGTTATCGCAAACATCTTCGTTTGCTACTCAAAACATTCATTCATATTTAGAAATGATCAAAATGCCATTAAAGGGCTCTGAGAGTAATCATAACAGTCTTTTTGGTTGGGAAATGTCGTGAATCGTTGCCAGGAGGGTAGGGTTCAGGCATATGTTTTAGATACCGAATATCCGTACAAGAATAAATTGCATACTGTATAAGTTTCTATATTCAGAACTTTTCTTCTTCAAAGATAAGTTGCTTAATTATGGAGAATTTAATCCTATAATATATGTGATATTATGTTGTTTGGTTTGTGGTGAAGACTGTTTAATTAGGAAATAAACATAAATCTCTTCCCTCGAACATCTGAATCTGTGACCAATATATTTGGTCACAAATTTCAATCGATTTCTTCCAAAAACTCTTCTACATACTTCAAACTATTCTGAACTGTATCTAACCATTATAATATGTATATCTATACCCATTCCCAGCCCAACACTTGATTCAAAACAAAACATATACTTGGGTACAAGTTGTCTTTGGTACGAGTTGTCTTGGGTACGAGTTGTCTTGGGTACGAGTTGTCCTGGGTACGACTTGACTTGGGTACGAGTTGTCTTGGGTACGAGTTGACCAGTTACCAAAAAAATTTCATTATAAACGAAAAATGGCGACCATCTTAAAAACTCACAATTGAGCAGAGCTCTTTGTCCCTAGGGCATCACCATATAAAATTTTAACTAAATCTGTTGACAAGCAAATGAGTAATCAAAGATTACATTTTCATAAAAATTGGTGGCCATCTTGTGGTTGAAAATTCTATCAAAATTTAATGGACAATGTCATGAACTTCATTGAACTTGCTAAAAACTTGACATATAAATTGATAGATTGAAATGTTTTTTGTGTCAACTCTGATGTGGACTGTTTGAGGTGTTTTGGTGTCAAATGAAAGATCAGGTACTTATCAATCCATTGGAAATACTATTAATATCGAAACTAAAACTTGATTTTGCCGATAATCGTACTAATTTAGTTTCTTTAAAAACCATATATCCCCTTTTCGTTCATTTATGAACTTAATGACTCATGTATCAGTTATGATATAAATTGTAAAAATACTATCCCAAAAATGGACGTTTTTGGCCCATCTTGCATGTATGAAGATTAGGGCATCACATAAAAATTATTAAATAATCACAAACTATGAATTACAGGGTGGGCCAAAAATTCCAACTAATTCATCTCTACCATCACGTCCATTGCAATTGCAACCTAAATATGAAGACATATACCTTGGGGACCTGTTTTGCCTTCTGGGCCAGGTGGCCCTGTGGTCCAACTAATCCGTCCCTACCATTACGGCCATCACGTCCATTGCAATTGCAACCTAAACATGAAGAAATATAGACATACCCTGGGGACCTGTTTTGCCTTCTGGGCCAGGTTGCCCTTGTGGTCCAACTAATCAATCTCTACCATCACGGCCATCACGTCCATTGCAATTGCAACCTAAACATGAATAATAAACATATACCCTGGGAACCTGTTTTACCTTCTGGGCCATGTGGCCCTTTTCGTCCAACTCATCCATCTACGTGCATTGCAGTTGCAACCTAAACATGAAGAAATATACATATACCCTGGGGACCTGTTTAGCCTTCTGGACCAGGTGACCCATGTGGTCCAACTAATCCATCTCTACCATCACGTGTATTGCAATTGCAACCTAAACATGAAGAAACATACATACACCCTTGGGACCTGTTTTGCTTTCTGGGCCAGGTGGCCCTTTTGATCCAACTAATCCATCTCTACCATCACGTGTATTGCAATTGCAACCTAAACATGAAGAAACATACATACACCCTTGGGACCTGTTTTGCTTTCTGGGCCAGGTGGCCCTTTTGGTCCAACTAATCCATCTCTACCATCACGTGTATTGCAATTGCAACCTAAACATGAAGAAACATACATACACCCTTGGGACCTGTTTTGCTTTCTGGGCCAGGTGGCCCTTTTGGTCCAACTAATCCATCTCAGCCATTACAATTGGAACCTAAACATGAAGAAACATATATATACCCTGGGGATCTGTTTAGCCTTCTGGGCCAGGTGGCCCTTGTGGTCCAACTAAGCCATCTCTACCATCACGCCCATTGCAATTGCAACCTAAACATGAAGAAACATATATATACCCTGGGGACCTGTTTTGCCTTCTGGGCCAGGTGGCCCTTTTGGTCCAACTAAGCCATCTCTACCATCACGCCCATTGCAATTGCAACCTAAACATGAAGAAACATATATATACCCTGGGGACCTGTTTTGCCTTCTGGGCCAGGTGGCCCGTGTTGTCCAACTAATCCATCTCTACCATAACGTGTATTGCAATTGCAACCTAAACATAAAAGAAATATACATATACCTTGGGGATCTGTTTTGCCCTCTAACCAGGTGGCCCTTGTGGTCCAAGCGATAACTTCAGAATGATGTTTTATACCTGAAACTGCTGCTGTCGTTTGTCTTATAATTCTTTTCATTGTTTGCATCATTCTGATCTTTGGCAGTTGTCCAATACTAGAATAATTAAACAAATTGTCAGATGGAATTTTAGCAAATCATTATGAATCGTTCTGATCAACAAGATATACTAAACCAAAAGTTACTAGTTTCCTTTCTTTTGCCCTTGAGTCTGTGATTGAATACTCAACTCTGCTTTCATATTCATATTTACTGCTCATGTGTTGTTCATTTAAGTTTCTACAGGGTGGTCCAGAAAATGGGACACTCGTCTTTCAAAAATAAATATTGATTTTCTTGATGCAAACATGTCATATAATATATGACATGTTTATGGGATAGAGAACCCATTCATCCTCATGACCTGATATTTCGCATGTTTGATCTGCTAAACACTAAAATATGGATTGGGGTGTTTTGAAAATGCATTTTTTAAAACTACCCCATTTAAAAAGACAGCAAAATTTTAAACGAAATTGAAAATATTTTTCCCTAAAAAAGTTGATTTGTTAATTAAATATGTGTTTATGATTTACTTAGAAAACCAAATGCTTAAGCGACTCCAAATAAATGTTGTCTTCATCCAAAACTAAGTATTGGTATTAGCTATAGTTTGTGGTAACAAGGAATGCCATTCACTGTTAGTATAGACCACTTATTTGTTGGATTTACACTAGAGCCCCAAGACGTCTTGGCTAAAATGTTTTACCGCTAGAACGTTTTACAAATGTAATGTAAATCCAGATTTTCTCAAGAGCTCTCGGCTGAGAGCGCTTAGCTAAAACGTTTTAGGACCCTAGTCATAGCCAAGACGTCTTAGCTTTAAAACGTTTTACAAGCGAGTGTAAATCCATCGGTTTTAGCTAAGAGCTCTTAGCCCGTTTTTTGAGTTGCGCTGAACGAAACATTTAGAAACTTTCCATTTACATATCTCGCATGGTCCTTTATTTTGTCTTATCCCTTAATCCCAATATCATCCCAAAATTATTGAGAAGAACCTATTTGCCTGGCGATTTATCATAATCCTAATTTATGCATAAAATCTTCCTGGTCTCTTTCATGCTTTTTTACAATCCTGTCTTTAGGACATATTTTTGTGAAACCGATGCATTCTTTAGTACAAAGTATAAAAGCGGGAAAGCATTAGCTATATTGACTGAACCGTCCTTCAACCAGTACTGAACTGCTTTTTCATTTTACGTATACCTACATACTCGTATCTCTAAGACGTTCTAGAAAAACAGGTGTAAACTCAATCGTATTTCGTAGGACGTCTTGAAAATGGTGGTGTAAATTCAACATAATTTTTCGAAAACGTTTTAGCCAAGACGTCTTGGAATGCCGCGTGTAGTGTAAATAGGGCTATTGTATTAATTCAATTTGGAAATAAGGACGAAATATGTTGCCTTATATGTAATGATTTATTGATCAAACAAAGGTTATCCAAGAAAGCGACAACTCTATAAAGAAGATTATTTTACATGTGAATGTGTTTATGTGTGGTCATGTTGTAATACTAAATTATCTCCAATGTACTTGTATTGTTTGAATATTTGTCCTTATGATCGTCGTACAGTTTCATAAGACTTGTGACATACTGGGCGTGTAATTTGTCTATCTGCTCCTGGCTAGGGTTACTACACTTCTCCACATCAATTGGAGCTCCAACTGGAATAAGAAAACGTTCGTATTTTTGATGGAACGAGTCATATCTAAATAAATCTGATCGTTCGATTATTTGTGGCAGATTCTTTATCTGGAAATACCATACAATCTCGAAATTCGTACCAAAGAACTATACTCGTATTTGCAGAGTTCTGAAGTACCGGCAGTTTAAAAAAACACTTTTTGGAATCAGACATTGCCTATTTTGCCTGTGAAGCAAGGAGGATTGGCTCCTAGAATGCAATCTCGATATTATTCCTTTTCGTTCGGTACACATACTAGGCCAGAATCACGAGTTTTGGCCTTAACATAACAATAAAGGACATAACACAAGAAGTGATCAAGGTGTTAGCTCAAATCTTTTGGATTGCTGATTATGAATTTATAGCCAGTTTAATGTCAGGCAATAATGACTTTTTCATTGTTAGAAAATATCGAGATTGCATTCTGGGAGCCAATCCTCATTGCTGTGAAGTTTCAATCTACAAATTGAAAAATGGAATACCCACCAACTGTATTAACTGGACGTCTGAACGGTAAAATACCGAACGTATAATTAAATACGCCTCTTCCTTGGATTATCGGCATTGAGAACCCGCAAATACGTGTCATTTTCTGTTGTAGGTTAAACAAGAAGGAACCTTCCGGATTAGGTACTTGATCAAATACGTCGTTCTCTCCAAACGAGAAGACGGGCACTAAACTTGCCCTGAAAGTATGAACGAATATGCTTAAGTTTTACTCCTTTCCAAATAAGTTTGAAAACGAGACGGGGGGGGGGGGGGTTCCCAAAGATGACCTTTGGTGTTGGCACTTTTCGATAACCAGTTTTGTAAACAGGTCTCATTTGTCATTAGACAATTTGATTGGACACCTTATACTGATGGGCTTGATTTAATTCATGAGTACGAAAGAATATGAAAGTATTATGCCCGGGTATTATGGGAGCTACTCACTTCTGAAAACGAGATATTTCGCAAAGCTGATATTATCTCTTGTACTGCGCTTTTCAAACTCGGATACGTCTCGGTAACAAAATGTCCGAACGTCAACGTTATGATTTTTCTGTTTAACTTTTTTCTCAAGGAAAATCGTACCCTCGAGGATCCGACATTTTGTTATAGAAAGGGATCCGTTTCGGCATAACCAGTTTGAAGAGTGCAGTGCCAGTGATCATGTGGTCCGTTAACATGCCAAACACATGTTTTAATTGTTGAAAAATTGCAGCACACGATTGTAAGTCAAGTCAAGTTTTATTGGGGTTATTTTGGAATTCTCGAACAGTTTTAAACATCGTTTAACTAATGCCCAACCAATGCTTGTTTCACTTACCCGTGTTTCAAAGCAATTTTTATAAATCCTTTTCTATTTTTTAAGTTGATTGTATTTGTATTGGGACGAGCCCGCAATGCTTCGACTGCCCCGCCAACCACAAGAACAGAGGCGTTGCCAGTGCCCTCTTTCGTCAGGTGCCATTCTAGACTTTCCTTACTGCAGTCAACGACACCTGGAAATATATACGAGATCGTAGATCTGCATGATTCTGTAACGACCCTGATGACGCTCACCCGGGGAGCTGTTGTTGTGTAACAAGCCAAATACTGGACATGGAAGGGAGTGTGCTAAATTAAATGCCCTGTGCGGGAACCAAACCAAGCTTAGAGTCCGAAGCTCTATCCCCGTGCCATAAGGGCGAGGCAGTACAGCTGAGACTGTAGAGTAACTTGTTATCGAGGATCGTTTCAATTTTTTGCAAAAAAATGATGATGTAGCCTTCTTTACGCTAAAACTATGACGAATTACTTCCACGAACTCTTTTAAATCGTTTAATATATTTTATAATTGTCACTAGTTCAGATTTAGAAATGCTGTGAATTGTAAAGCCCCATACATGCATGTGAAGCCAATTATAATTATTATTTGATAATTTGTTTAGTATTTTTAAGTTTTTTTTAAATAGTCCTATGTAATTTAGATGTTTTATTCTATCCATTATCTCACGGAATTAGGTGAAGACTGATAAAATGATGTTAAAATTAGAAATAATATTTACCCAGCATACATTTTCAATACAAATTTACAAACATAATATAGTGTATCTATTCCTTTGGACCACTACTGCGGATATGATCACCGCTTTCTCACCTGATAACATTAGATAATCTCGATAAAACGGGAACATAAATTGCCCTCTTAGAATCAACAGCCTCGCTGTTAACCCGGGAAAGATTGATGCAAATCCAGTGCCCTCTGTTGCAAAGTTCCCGAACCCTCCAACGGACATTATTCCATGCGGATGGTAGCCGAGAATGTAGTTCTTATCTGGCGGTAATTCGGCAGTTTTGTGAAGCTTTATCGGGAAATAATTGCAGAAGTAGCGCCAGACTCTCCATCGTCTGACCCAGGCTGAAATACACAACAGATTTCAAATAAAAGAAACTCAACCCAATACGCTGATAAACAACAAAAAAAATTACGTGCAGCAAAACCATTATAGTCATAGGCAAAGGTCGATAGAAATAAATTTTTAAATAAAGATGGCATGGTAATCGATGGTGCTGCCATCTTTATATCGACCTATGATTATAGTTAAACGAGTCATCTTCAAAATGATTCAGTTTCATCCCGCCTCGAGCCATTTGAAGCCTCTTTGTCTCAAAATACTGCAAATTGGATAAATTGATTGAGAAACTCAGTTTGTGACTAATATTTGTGAGATATTGTGTTTAAGAATGTCTGCATCATCATCATTGAAGAATAACTTCACAGCAGAGAATCAGTGAAAATGAAACTGATCAGCATCGAAACACGTGCTATAAAAGTGCTTATATAAACAGTACACGATATGTCACATACCATTTTGATTCCCACCATTTGTTGGCGTCATCCTATCATAGTAATACCAAGGCAGGTACAGGAGAACAATCCAGTAATATTTGGTATGGAACAACACGTAAATACTTAGAAAAAGGCATCCAAACCCAAGACCTAAGAAACACAGGGTCCATTGTAACACTGCCAATGTCTCCAGTCGTCTGTGTAACGGAATGTTCAAAGGTGCAAATTCAATCCCTAATACCTTCATAATGATGACCTGCTGCCTTTGGTAGTCACTTGATGCAGTGCATTCAGAGAGTTCTACATCGACATTTGATAGTTTTTACTTATACTTTGTTTGTTTATTAGTGGAGCGATGTTTACATTTTAAGTTTTAAATGTGTATTCTTCTTTTATCCAAATCTAGTGTTCGTGTATATCACAACGTTGGCACTTTAAGGTACAACTGGAAAATAACATTTTGGTAAAAAATTGCTATACCTGCACATCTTATTTTCTGGTACACTATAAAGTATGAAGGCATGTGTTAATTTCCTTGCTTTTTCCAGGAAAGTATCATTACATTGTCTACTTTTAGTAAACCTTGAAACAGGTCAATGGTAGCTCCTGTGTTGTCTGGAAACTTTGAAAGAAAATTCGGAAAAATTAGAAAGTGTGAAATATCAGAATTTCCTGGAGTTCCCATTGACCTTTTACCAGATATACTAAAAGAAGACAATGTAATGATACTTTCCTGAAAAAAGCAAGGAAATTAACAAATGCCTTCATACTTTATAGTGTCCCAGGAAATAGCATGTGCAGGTATAGCATTTTTTTACCAAAAATGTTATTTTCCAGCTGTACCTTTTAAATGCTGTTTTTAGTCACTTGATGATTTTCACTGTACTATTTTGCCACTTGCACATTGATTGATAATAAAACTCATGTTTATTCCATTTGCTGATGTTTTCTGCAAAAGTCTAGGAAGCTTCCTGGTGTAAGCGACTTACAGTGTGTAATATGTCAACCCATTTACTCGGTTGCTGTAGCCAGAGAACGTCGTGACTTCGAGTTGCCTGATTTATGTGTGTAAATCTAAAGTTTATAGTACAGTTTGTGTATAGTTCAATGTGTGAATGTCACATGCAATAATACATTCAAATGCAAACAAACATAATCAGCTGTCTTTGGTGCAAAGTTTACCATTGACTTGTTTGATATGTTAAAGGATGAGTGTCTTTATCGACAATACGGAGCCACACATTCGTTCAATGTCAAACTGGAATTTTCGATACAATTCATGAACAATTCGAGGAAATCACACCCTTTGAAGAACATCTCTAAAGAAAAGCATCCAAACCAAACATTTGTTTTGGATATTTATTTGTATATCAATTCCTTAATGAAAAACACTCGATATTCTACAATGAAATATTTGTTCATAGCCTTATAGACAGGTATCCTTTAGAACAAGTTCGTTCAAAGTCACCTTGACATTATGATTAATTATCAATGCACAAGCCAGCGAATATTATATTATTCACTATTTGTCAATATTTATTATTATTATATACCCAATATGTAACACTAATCCTGATTGGTCAATACCTAGTCACGTGTTCCGAAATAGATTTACTATTTCCCTCGGAAAGTTATATTCCCTCAATTGTGACGTCAGCGGGAATATACATTTGAACTATTGCCCGCTGATGTCACAATTGCAAGTTCTATTACCCTTGGAAACGTCTGCGCATCATCACTGTGCAGACGAAAAACAGAAAAATGGAGGATGAGCACAAACACAAATCAACTTCGTTCACCATGACAGACGTGCGTGAACGATACAATATAAGCAACGTGTATAAAGTTCCCTAAGCTCAATACGTCTGTGTAATTTCAAGTGTTATGATAATCTATTCCGCGTGTTAAACGCGATTGAATTTGTCAAGTGATCGAGAGTCTCAGAGGCAAAAATTTCTGTTGAGCATCTGATGACGTCACAGCTTATAATGCTAACAATGGACCCAGGGAGGGGGCTTTCTAAGCCGTTTTGGCCTTCGCAGAGGAAACGGGACAAGAGTTAGTATAGGGTATATAATAAAACAAATAGTGACTGCCTAATTTCGAGCAATAGTGTAAATGATTTCCCCTTGGGAATATCCTCTAGAATGTACTATTCCCGAAGCCGCAGATATAACTATAGTTTGTCTGAGATACAGTGCTCACCATAAATAAATGACACCTGGATTTGCTTAAGTGAGGATTTCCCATATTAAAAAGAAGAGGATTTTCAATCAGTGGATGAGAGTATACAAAATGTAAAATATACCAAACTTAAGGGATGTGTATCTAGACATTGTTGGAAAGTATGAAGTCTCAAATCACCATGGTCTGAAAATGGTGATAGAAAATCAAGGTGTCATTTATTTATGGTGAGCACTTTATCTGAATTGGCATTTTGAGGTTTGCTCCTGCTCTCAAACATTACATTCCGTTACGAGGCCCGTAATAGCTCGTAATTTTCGAGCCTTGTACTTGCCTGTGTGATGCCCGTAACAAGGCCCGCAATGACTCGTAATTTTCGAGCACTGTACTTGCCTTTACGGCGCTTGTAACGAGGCTCGTAATTGCTCGGTTATTTTGATGAACACTTTTTGATCAATGAAATAAAATACAGAATACTTGAGAAATGACATTTCAATTCTATCTAATTGTGAATTAATATGTCTTCAGTTATTTCAAAATATTCGCATGTCTGTATCAATATGATAAACAGTATAAAAGCCAGGAAACAAAATTAACAGGAGAGTGTAACCGATAGGAGACACCATATTTCTCTACAAGTAGAGTAAATGCATATAAAAACATTTGTTTGCGTTTTTAATAAGATGAAATGTCATGTGAATAAAGTTATGGTTATTGGATGCGTGAATAAAAACATCAATCTGATATGTGAAAGCTTATACAACATGTTCTGGATTGATACCCGAATCATGTAGCATGACAGGGATTTTTGTTTGGAGTTCGATAACGGGCCTCGTACGAGCTCGTGTGGGCCTCGAAATTTGCCTGTGTACCTATGTATGGACCATCGGCGACCTTAGCGATGTTCTAGTATATGCACACATCGTTTAGATGCGCGGTGGGGAATCAAAATATTTCGAGAAAATTTATTAACATATAAAAACCCTATCACGTGACCATGTTTAAAAGGGAAACAGGATAACGTTTAGTTGCAAAAGGAGGACGAGGGTTTATTTATGAAGGCAAAATACATTTACATTTATTTCTAGTGTTCATCAGGCAGTTTGTAGAAAATTATTGGCAAAAAATCCGTAGATAGAGAATAGAGGGCGCAGTAAATTAAAGATTGAAAGCAATACAGGATACGTATTAGTAAATCAATTTAAGTACAGAGCATATGTAATAGTTTCACTTCGAATGTGTTACCCAGTTAACTGTTATTTATGGGCCAATTTACGATAATTGATATTTCAAAAATACAAAATTCGAAAATAAACCCCTATCGAACCAAACTAGTTCTTACCCGTTCTTGCCAGTCCTACGAAAACGTCGTAAAACGGGCTCAATCTGGCTGTGGTCGGGAAAAATGTCTAAAATAATTAGCTACTCCGTTCATAAACAGTCTTCAATACGTCCATCTCATTCCCAGTTCGTTCAGGTCTCACCAAGTCGGTGTGCAACGTCGTATAACGATTCCCTTAGTCTAGAAGGTCATCATGACCTGATTACAGAACGGTATGGTCGACATCGAATTTCGAATCATTTCAAAATTCTAAAATCACCTTCCCGTCTGAGAACGTTCATGAAGTTCGTAAATAGACCTTAGAAAGTTGCAGCTACGTTCATTCCGTTCGCACACAGTTTAAAACCAGTTTTGAAGAACGCAGTGGCAACTTGTTTGGTGTGATAGCTATATTTTTGCTAACTCGTTCATAAGCAGTCTTAAATACGTTCTTAATCAGTTTAAACCCGTTTGCAATTAGTTCTACCTCGTTCTCAATACGTCCTCAGACAGTTCAAGTCGTTGTAAAAACGTCCCCAGTAGTATTGAAGTACGACGGTTTCGTTCGCGATCGTAGTACGTCCAGCTCGTCGTTAGTACGTTGTCACTCGTTCTAATTGTTCTAAGTTCTAGAGGACCTACCCGTTCGAGTTCGTTCGATGAAGTTTTTAAATAGACCCGAACGGTTCTAAGTACGTCCAGTCCGTTCGTACACAGTTGAAGCCCGTTTTCGAGAACGTAGTGAAAACTAGTTTGGTGTGATAGTAGGGTTAAAATATTCAAATGACGATGGATTTTTCTTGAATTGTAGTGGAAAAACATTATATTTTATAAATTCGTAAAAGGCATCATTGAAACTATATTGTCATTTCAATTATGTGTGTCATTTATGTTTTAGCACCAAATATCGTACGGATGAGCTTGTTTAAAATATGTATACAATAGAAATGGTATTACACGATGATGTGAAGTCTATGTAAACTGACTAATAGGTAAACAATGTATAGTAACTGAACGATTATAATTATTTATGTGAGAAAACTACATGCATATGTATAGGGCAACTTATGCGCACAGGCTGACGTTTCGATTTTATATGCATTGCATATAGTCTGTACTAAGTTAAGTTATACGGAAATAATAAGCATGCTATTATATTGTGAGATGGATAACCTCTGTACTATATCGTTTCGTCGAACCGTCGGAAAAATAATTCCCAAAGTGTATACTTTACTAAAGGAAAATTAAAGATTTTTACAATGTTTTATTTTTTCTATATCCATATGTACCATTTTTATTATTTGGGAGAATTTAAACGTTTTCCCCAATTTTTGCACTTCTTATTAACTTCACTAATCTATAACATATTGAAGACCTTGAAAGAGATATTGTATTTGGGATTGTAAGGAATAGATTTGTAGGTCAATTGTACATTTTGCTCACAATTCTGTCACCCCCTATAGATCTGATTCTGCCTCTAATATAATGATTTTATTATATCAAAATTAAAATGATATGAAATATATGCATTACAAATCATATCAAATATCTTAAAGTCCAAATGTACTCCTAATGAAACACCCTTTAAACCATTCTCACATCCAAATATACCATCCGTGCTATCATTCTGTTCTCTAGACCTTCGAACTATTTAACGGAAGATGAAATTTGGAAGAATTTTAAAAAATCAATTCGCATATATTATCCATGATATGATATTGTTGCAATACAGGGTGTTTCAAAAGTAACAGGACTGGTGCTGGCATTTTGTCAATTCTGCACCGAGGATCTTGCGGTTACTATAGTAACATGACATAACAATACCCGGGGCAACTTTTTCATGAAGATGTACATTTTTGTATTCCTGAAGAAAGTGTTTAATTCACCTCTTACAATACATTTCTTGTTTGTTTTATTAGTTGCTTTGTTGTAATGGTGTTGCTATACAACTCAGATTCAAGTATGATTTCATGATAATAATATTTATTCAATTTCCTGGAATATCACTCTGTAGTGTATGACAGTATAATTGTTGAGTTTTTGAAAAGACCCAATTCAGAATAAGCCAGTCATCCACCTTGATAAGGCGCCTGCCTGCAAGTCAGTATTAAAGACCACTGCAGCTATAGAGGAGCTAGGTCTTGGGGTCTAAAACCATGAACCATACTCTTCTGATCATGTAATATCCATTTTTTACTTATATGGAGAATGGAATGCTAATCAGCACGGTAAGACCTTTAAAGATGAGAATGCCGCTCTCCAAGTTGTCCAGTTCACCCTGCGTGACTTGTCCTCAAATGGGTTCACTCATGTGTTTGAGTCATGGAGTGGTACTCTTGTACTGACCAAAGAGGAGCCTACACAGGGAGATATGCCGAGTACTAAAATAGTACTCATGGCATTTTAGCGCTAATTGAGTACTCATTTCAGCAAATATTAGTACTAAATGAGCACTTATGACATGAGTACTGATTTATTGCATGTTTTAGTACTAAATGAGTACTCATATGATGAGTGATAAAATAGCGCTAATTTCATTGATTTTTTATTACTCAATGACCACTCATACTATGAGCACTAATTAATTGCATGTTTTAGTACTAAATGAGTACTCATATGATGAGTGATAAAATAGCGCTAATTTCATTGATTTTTCATTACTCAATGAGCGCTCATATTATGAGTACTAATTTATTGCTCATGTTTCACGAGTGATAGAATAGTACTCAAAGATTAAAATGTTGATAATTTTTTTTAAAATGATGAAATGAAATATAGAATACGTAATAAATCACATTTTAATTATACGAAAACATGGATAAATATATTATGAAGCTTTTCCAAAAATTCCCATTCCTGTAGCTATTTCATGTAACAGGTTGAAGCTAGGAAACAAAATGACAGACACCATATTGTTCCATTCTTGAGAAAAGTGCATATATATATATACATTGAGGTAAGATGTATTGAATGAGAAGTTACTAAAATTACAAGGTGAGTGAGTTCTATATGTGAAACAATTAGAAGCTGACATGGGAGTAAGTCTAATTAACAAAATTGAAGGTAGCATGTGAATTGAATCCAAGCTAGAATGATACCTACTGGGTGCTTATTATTTAGTAAATGAACAATATTTGAGTGCTAAATGAGCAATTTTTAGTACTAAAATAGCACTCAATTAGTACTAAATCATTACTTAAAATATTGTTACTAAAACGGTACTAAAATAAAACCTTATTTTTCACAAAATTAGTACTAAAATAGTACTCAAGTAGTAATAAATTAGCACTCTGGCAAAAGTGCACTCATGAGTACTCATGACACGAGTGCTAATTTAGTACTAATTTTGTACTAATTTAGTACTCGGCATATCTCCCTGTGTATACTTTCCAAAGTAGAGGATACATACAATATCAAATGATAAAAGAAAATGTAATTCCCACGAGTTGTTGCATTTCAACTTTGATATGGGATGTACAAAACTTAAAAAGTCTCTGTATAAAGAGTCTCTGTAACTTTCTGTGTATAATGTTGCCCCGGGTATTGTGATGTCATGTTACCATAGCAACCATAACTCTACCAGTGTTTCATATTTTTTGTCGAAACTTTGTAATTTTAGTTACAATACATGGAAGTACATCATGTAAAATGTTGAAGACGATTGGTGTATATTTAACAAATACCAGTACCAGTCCTGTTACTTTTGGAACACCCTGTACTGTTTTACAGGCAATTCAACACGTTTAATCAATGACATTTAATAAATGATACCCTCGTTAAATATAAAGTCAAAAGATATATATTTACTGATTACATAAATATCTAAGCTCAAGTGCCAAGGGGAGAGAACCCTAACAAGAAAAGCATGGCCCTGAGTGTAAACCTCTCATAAGAAAAATAGACCCTATATATCCCTCCCACAACTGTAATATCTAATCTATCTATCCCCTTCCTCATTTCACAAGTTGCATTACAGTATCAATATAAAACATGAATCAATTTTTCAAATATTTCGTTTCAAAATGTGCGAAAGAAAGTTCTTAACACTCAAACAATGCATGTCAATTATGAATCAATATGTACAGATTCCTATTTTAGTTTGAAAACCCGAATCAGTCGATGCTTTAACACCTCTAGGTCATCAAACATGGAAATCTTGGTAGCCAAAATTTGGAAATAGGTGTAGTTTATGTACATACATACATTAAAAATTACTTAATATGGAGATTTAGTACGCGCATGCATTAATATTTGATTAAATATAGAAATTTTGGTTGCCAATCTTTTGTTTGGGAGTGTTTATATTTTAAGAGATCAGTGTTAAATTATAAGTGGACTGAGGTATCTCTGAAGTGAGAAAACAAAGATTAATTTGATTTCTCATTCAAGAAATACTATCATCGAAGACATCTGGTACTCAAAATTCTAACACAAAGTTCTAATGACGTGATCACGTGGGTCACGTGGGTCGAAATTTACCAATAGAAACACGTGTAGGATATATTTTAAACACCTGTTTTGATATCTGTTTAATCTCCTTTGGTACCTTGTTTTTTATGACGTCATTGTAATTAATCAATAAATCTTCGTTTTCTATTTTTAGGTAGAGTCACTCAAAGGAGTGGCTAAATTTAGATTAAAGGCATCGTTTTAATTTAAATTGCCATTCTCAATTTTGAAACTCAAGTAAGAAAACGCAGCAAAAAAGTCAAAAATGAGTGACAGAGGTAAGTGAGATTTGACAATATTTTTTCAAAATATATTTTCTCAGGAAAAGATTGTGGTTATCTTAAAATTGTTTATGTTTACTTAAGTTATATTTGGGAATGGAACTGTTTCTATATTGCAACAGAGATATGATTATCACAGTGCATCATTTGCACTTAATTTAGACAGAGATAACATATCGAAACAGATTGCGATACAGAGTGTACCTTAAATTATACGCTGTGTTGATATATAATGGACGCCTGTTATGAAATCGAAATTGATGTTCAACCATCCAATTTCTGATAACGTATTAATAAAGATGGTGTTATTCCAGCGCCAATATTCACCCTTGGTATACGCAGCTAACGAAAATTGACCGGTACGGGTCAAAAGCTGGACCGGTACGGGTTAACGGTTTTATTTGAATTTAAAACAGCCATAACTTGCTCAATATTGACTTCCTCGTGTCTAATTTGATATATATGATGCCTCCCGATGCTTTTAAGTACCCCAATTTTTTATAGATTTTTAAACGGACCAAAACTCTCTAAATGCGCATTTATGCTCTTTTCTCTCGAGAACGACTGTTTCATTTTCACGATAACTTTTATTTAGTACTTCTAACATATAAGATCTATTTTTCCCCATCAAGGTATGATGTAAATGACATGCTATTTACATCTTGTGAGTTTCAATGACGCGCGTTTGATTTTATAAAAAATGCCAAACTTTGTGACAAATAATTTTATCCTGCCTGCAGCGAGAAGACGGACCGGTTCGGGGCTATAGCATGAACATAATTTAGGAATCTTTATACATGTGTGCTATTGCCGTTAACCGGGTAACCGTTAACCCGTACCGGTCCAGCTTTTGACCCGTACCGGTCAATTTTCGTTAGCTGCGTATACCAAGGGTGATATTGCTTCTTAAGCTTGGGCCCTCACATCATTGTGGCTATTATATATTTGGAGAATGAAACATATATCCATTAAAAATCAGTAATGGTGTTCATATATCAGAAAAACGAAGCGTTATTCCTTAGACGATTTATGATAAAAAATGCTACCGACTTTTTCAATGTTGCTTCGGTCTCGTGTTCACTTTTATGAACAAAAATAAAAGTGGTATTCAAGTTCGCATTTTTTCATAATATTGTTTTCTCGATCTACATATTAAATTGCAAAACGACAAATCGTTCTGTACAATAAAATTGAGTTCAATGAGGGTATAAGGCAGATGATCCTGTCTTGATCAACTTATAGCGAACATATAAGTGTTTAATATTTCTGCATCGGGACTACTATGTAACTATAAATCAATAGTACTGTAAAAGTGGAATGAAGATCTCGACTCCACTTTAAGAATATACTTCTGTAAAGTTCACATTTGCTCGAAGATAGCATCTAGTAATTTTCACTTTTGTCATTTTTGACATTTTAATCGATTGTATACCAAATAATTATTCCCTACCTACATGTACTGAGGTTGAAGGAACAAACCGCGTTGTATTTATCCGTTGTATTTATTTATACCGCTCCATAAATTTAAAAATACATTTTCATTCTAAGAAAATGTTCACTTTTCTTATTAGAGTGTTGAAACATATGTTTAAATGATAAAACTTTAAATATAAAATATTACCACTAATTTCAAAAAAGCTGTTTTATATTGAAAAATATTTTTTTATACTTTTTGAAAGATCAAATGTTAAATTATCTAGAACCTCAGTTGGTATGATATGCATCGGTTATGTGCTATTGGTTTTCGATACAGGATATACCCCTACGAAAATATGCATCCCTATTTCAAAACGAATACTTTGCAATGTATAACATTTGGATATAAGCACAACGCGTTACGCTAAAAGTGCGAACGCGTAAAAGACCGTCCGTCGAACTTGTGACGACAGCATTGCCCATACCACGGGATGTACGTTCGCGCTTGTTTCTTCCCGTGACCAGTCTAAAGGCAAGTAGACTACCTCGCTCGGTTTTGATATTTCTGTAATTTCAAATCTCTTGAAATGATTACGAAAACCAGGTATTCCTGATAGGAATTTCCAGGCAAAATTTTGCACAGGCGGTCAATGTCCGTTAATCCCAGAATTCAATTGAGAACCAATCAGAATTCGAATATCATCACACTAGTCCCCACATTCCGAGGTTAATAATAACTTTAGAAAATGGATCGTTTCTAATATTAACACTGTACCTTCTATGTTAAATAACGGTAGTTGTTTACAATTTCAAATTCTGATTTGACTTAGTTATTACGGTAACCTGGCCAGTCTTTGACCAACACTGGCAGTCCAGTTGTCTGCTCAGTTTTCGTGAATTGATTATATTTCTTAAAAATGGAAAATCAAGACGGAAATTTTAACAACAAGATGGAACAAAACGCCTCTTATCCATGTTCTCAAAACACAAAATGTCTAACAAATTCAAATGCTTCGGACTGTGATTTAAAAAATAGGAACAATGCCGTTAATGGAGTACACACAAGCGCAGAGGAAACTAAACTTCTATTCGTTGAGTCTTTGTATGAAATAATCGAAGATGTGAAGAATATGGATGTCGTCTCCTGGGACGATATGTTCGCACTTATTAAAGGTATCAACTTAAGTTACTATTAGTGAGACTCTCAGAGCAATTGGTGTCTCAAACCAATATCCAATGTAATTGTGATCCATTGTTCATGTATTGTTGTAACACTAAAAAGGCAAGGGCTTATTTGGTGAGAAATTTTGAGGGGTAAATTGAGTTGAAAAAAGTTTATACTTTTCAAAATGAACAATTACGACAAGTGTTTCGATAGTGATAATTATTTTGGGTGGTTGATAACCTCCATCGAACAATGCCGATGCCTTTTTCTTTGAATATGGGTCTTTATCTTCATATTTGAAAATAGATGTTATATAAGGGTTATGCTCTAGGGTGTTTTGCATAAATCTTTGTTTATCCAATACCGAGGGTACATGTAATACAGATGTATTCTACACGTACTCAGTTTCTATCAGGTACCTTCTAAAGTTCCCATAAATTGAAATCTAAATATGAAATATTTGAATAGTGAAAACGTTTTGTGAGTGATATTAAAAACTTTTTCACTGGTTTTTACTTTTTTATGGAGCAAGACTGGGGTGGATGCTGTAAATCTATAATCTAAATAGGTATGGGACGCATTTGGTTTTTAACTTTCCGAGTCAACTTATTTTCAAATATTTGGTCACTCTGATATGTTATTTATTGTATCATTTTGTATACAATCGATTTACATCAGTGGTAAGCTTTTAGAAAGCGCGTTTGAATTTTTATTGACAATGTTGTAATATAATGAAAACTTCTACATCTTTTATATTATACAGATTACAAATTGTTAACATATTCAATATCAATATCATATACTTTTCTTGAAATCTTGAAAATGGAACTATTTGCCTTGCATATTTCATATATTTTACGAATGTGCACATTGGGTTTGTATCTTTTTATATAGAATAGGCAACATCCAAGTTATTCCTACTTCAAGACACCAATCGCCATTCATCACACTAAGCGACATAACGTAATCATCTTTTGGGTAACTAAAACACATAATATGTCATTCATCAACTCAGAAATACACATTGGAAATATTTTGTTCTACTTTGTCACGACATTCTGTTCGCTATATTGATATTTTCTTATACTTAACTGAGGGAATAGTACCATTATAAACATCTCTCCGTTCTCTTTATTAGCCTGCTGTCGTATCTTAATGCGTTCTTTGCCACTCTGTATTGACAGTAACCCCCACGAGGGACCAGAAGTGAGAATATTTAATTTCTCGACGTCGCAACATGAAATAGCATATGCTTCAACTTGGTTTTGTATTTTGTCACTATCTTTTCTTGAAATTGATTAGGTCGGTAAGATATGCAACTTGATGTTTTTCTATTTAACAAAGTGGAGGGGGGTTGTCAAATATTGTATTGTATTGTATTGCATTTCATTGTATTGTATTTCCTCCAATACTGAAAAGAAAATGTTGTGGGACTTTATTGAAATATCACCAGTTTTCAATGTATTTAACAAGAGCCAATTCCATAAAAAAACTCAGTATAACAATTATTTCACTCGATTCCTAAATCAAACATAGACATATTAGATATGGTACATCAATTATACACATTCGATATGTTGGTTATTGACCCTATTATGGCATGCATATTCCAGAGATTATTTTTGTGCCACATTTCACATTAAAAATGATTATTAGATTAGTTCTCATGGCTTTTGTCTCCCTTGTGAACCTTGTTGTTGATTATTACTACAGAGATTCTGTTATTACCACGGGGACTTTGTTATTACCATTGTTTCCTCATTTGAGCAAATGCATTGAATCCCTTGGAATCTCCCTCATAAATATTTCGCCAAGGTCTTGTTTTGAACAAGAAAAAAACGCAATGAAAAATGAAAATGCGATGAATAAAGACAACAGGCGTGTTGCCGACGCGATGTATCGTACAGAAATACTAATATATAGATATTTCATTCTCGATTTCGACAGATGTCGCGTGGAATTTAGAAGAAGTGGATAAAAGAATTGAGTGCGTTCTTAGGTTATAAATAAGACATTATTCCGGCATAAATTAGGGCGCCTAAATCTTCCAAAATTATCGAAATATAGATGGTTAAATACGATACTAAACGGTACAGGCAAAGCGTGACGTTGCGATAAATGTGAATCATAAGTTGTTCCATAGACTGAACAAAAGCAATGAGCCTATAACGGTACATTAATCAAAACCGCCAGACCCCTCCTTTATATTTACGTACTTATATATCTGGTCCATTAGCCCCGTTGCATGTTTCCTTTCCAGGCTTAATGAGACCTTTCGATTCATGGCCACGTCTTTAATGAGTTAAACCAAATGTGTAAACACACTTAAGTAATACGTAACTAGTATAAAACACACAGAAAATACATATAAAGTTAAATTGAAACTAGGAGATAAATTTTAGGCATCGCAAACATTTATTGAACGGAAAAACCACTCCCAAAACTCAGAAACTCTAATTACAATTAAAAAAATCAAAGCTAGACCGAAGTAATAAAAAGTATATACTTGTATAAATAGACGCTAGTAACAATTAAAGAAAAATCAAATGTGAAGATACTTGTAAGATGGATACTAAAGTATTTGAAAAAATATAGAACATTCAGTCATAATTGATGTGGGACAGGCGAAAATTAGTCGCAAACACCATAAGAAGGTCAACCTCAATTTGCAAAGCCATCATTAAAAGAGATGTCGGTGTTTATAGGTTTGACATACTCTCTAGTCTTCCTGTTGACGCATCCAATTAAGAATAGACAATGCCCACAATGCCGCCAGATAGATTGGGTAGCCCTTATATTGCTTTACAAAAAGGATCGATACATAATTCAATCAGAAGGCAACAGTAAATTTATAACCCAAAACAGCCTCCGCATTCCTTCAGAGACACCCACAAAGTTGGCACATCTTGAGCCGCACTTTCGTATTTAGATCATCTCGGGAATTGACAGATTGGAATATGTAAAATCGGACAATTAAGGAAGCATTCCAAGAGAAATCAATCATATTGTAGAACAACTGGGTTAACGTGTATTTGAACGTCAAATTATAGCAATATCGAATTGGAAAAAATCATTAGTAGACCGCAGGAGTTTGTTAACAGTGTACGAATGGGCAATTGTTTGTTTGTTTGCACAATAACATAGAAGCATCGGATACATCGGAGGACATAATATTTGTACAAAAGTATTCTCCAAATAAGGATTTAAATGTGTCGCTGACAGTGCCTCATTTACATATTATATGTTCAAAAACAAGCGTTCACTGAGAAATCAAAAAACAAGTGACAAATTAATTCAAGTTAAGCAAATTACTCAGTTGTTTTCCACGGAAAGGTTTGATTGAAATTGGAAAATACAAAAGCACTTAAATCTAAGAATGGAAAAAATGAATAAAGTTGAAATATTAAATGCGCTACGTGAAACTAAGGATAACGTGCGTGACAAGTTTCGCACGCTGGGGGAATCGATCCACCAACACGTAGAACGTACTGGAATCTTACACCATCTAAATATGGGCCGGGATCCTGACATGATAATACTCGACCAAGTAGATGGTAGGTTTTAAAACGTATTATGCAACATATACATACTCTCAATCAGTTTTGCGGCCAAAGTCCCAATTTCACAGATGTTGAATTTCTTTACTCAGTTACAAAATGTCGGTATTTTGAATTTGATAATTTTGTTAAAATTGACAAAAACACGTGTTTTCAAAAAGGGAATTTTGGTTGTCAAACTGTTGAAGAGCTGTCGTTGATTTCATTGGATAAAATTAATCTAGGCTGTCAACAAGAACAAAATGGCAGCCTCATTGTTACAAACTGTTCAAACTGTAAACCAATTAGCCCAGAATTCACAGATGGACCAATCTCTATGTAAAGATACATGCAAGGTTCATGCATGCATTCTGGGTAATTTCCCCCTCATGCATAGTTAAGAATGCCACTTCTGATTGCTCGTACATGAAAGAAGTGAAAGTATGTCGTCATAATCAAAGATCACCTAAGAAATCTTAAAAAGCCGTAGTCCAAGTGATTTCTAAAATTCAAATCATGGTCCAATTCATAGAAACTCTGAGACTGACAAGTGTTTGATCAGAGTGATTGATGAAAAATATTTGAATATAATTTGATTGATGTCTGAATATCACCAATATCAATCATGGAATATAATTATCTTGTCAACACATCCGTTGACCGACATGATTGAATCGGGGGAGTTGTACTTACACATGTGTATCTTTTTTATATATCGAACCTCGTCGAAAGCTCCCTGGATACACAACATTCCCGCTCGTTATGTACGGACCCATTGCGGTAACAAAATGCCGGTGTGAAAGAAATGATGGTCCTCCGGGATTATGGTAACCCTCCTTAACGGCCCTTACTGGCCCTGATTACGTATAAGATAATGAGGGAAAGAGTTGTATTGAGGTCACCATATAAATCAATGGAGAGTAGGACCATAATTTGATAGGACCTCCTACCCTTTTACACCGGGACCTTGAAGGAACGATTTTTCTTTTTTCCTTATCTCACTGTGAACACCTTATTGGTCTTAAACACATTTAAGAAATCGAAACGTGAACATCTGCTAGTCCAAAAGCTCTAAGCCGATGTAAAAGGGTAGGTGGTCCTATCAAATTATGGTCCTACTTTCCATTGATTTATATGGTGACCTAAATACAACCCTTCCCTTATTATCGTATCCACAATCCGGGCCAGTAAGGGCCTTTAAGAAAGGGGACCATAATCCTCAGGGGACCATGATTTCTTTCACACCGGTATTAGAGGTGTTCGGATTATACCTGTTTTACTGCACATCTGTATTTCAAATCTCAGTTCGATCGAAATTTAAAGTGATAACTATGACCAGTAATGTGCAACATACACGAAAATTAAAGATTTCGTTTTTGGAATTAGGATATGGAATTGAGGATCAGTAATTGAAATCTTTGGTAACAGTCAGGTAAAAATTGAAAATCTAATTTGAAATTTAAAAGGGGATT